CGGTGCTGAGGGCAGGGGCCTGCGGCGTTCTCAACGCCGTGGGGGCACGACATAGGGCGGGGCATGCATCGTCGAGGAGGGCGGGAGGCGGGGCTTTGAGCAGCGGGGCATGCGGCGTTGAGGGCGAGCGGGCGGGTGCGGCGTTGAGAGCCGCGGTGCGCAGCATGGAAACCGGGGCGTCGAGGAGGCCGGGAGGCAGGGGTTTGAGCACTGAGGCCTGCTGAGGGCGAGCAGGCGGATGCGGCGTCGAGCGCAGCGGCGCACGGCACGGAGAGTGGGGCGTGCATCGTCAAGGAGGCCGGGGTTGACGCATTGAGCGCCGGGGCGCGTGCCGTTGAGGCATTGAGGGTCGGGTGCGCGGCGTTGAGCGCGGACACGTGCGGCGTGCAGTGTCGAGGCCGTGCGCGCGGTCAGCGTCGAGTTGAATGCCAGGGTCTTCGACGTTGAGCGACCCAGCGCGCACTTTGCTGAATGGGCCCGGTGACCCGATTGGGTCGCGCTTCGTTGAGTTGAGCGCGTTGACTTCGGCATGCGATCACGTGCTATCAAACAGTGTCACGTATGTGGCGCGCGTGAACGCGTCGTAGACGTGTCGACGCGACGCGTTCCGGTCAGCATAAATACCGGAGACAATTCCGTCCAACTCATCCTGTGGCACCCCATCGATGCCCTATACCCAACTTTGCTTTGTGTGTTTTCAAGCAGACGTGCCCGAGGGTGGACGGTGGAGTCCCTGAAAACCCGAGATTGCCTCCGTCTAGCACCCATTTGTACTATCATCCCAACATGGTCTATACCCCCTGACAGTGCACTTAACGTGCAATACACTGAGGATCACAGATGCCAATCTGTCTCCTTGAACTGTCTATAGATGACGAATGATGAGCGATGTCTTAGGTGGTGCGCATGTATGCCTTAGGCTCATCTTCCTGCACCCAAGGTTAACAGTCAGGATAGTCTGCACCCATCCTGCTTCGGAATTTCAACTGAATGCTTGAAATGCTGCCCTACTGTGTTTCGTGCTGTCATTCAAGAATGGCATTGACTTTATGCTGTATGTACACTGATAACTGCAGTATATGCATTGAAATAGCCGGTTCCCGGGGTCCCAGCCAGTGCACAGCCTTCGCTTAGCCAAATGAACTCGGCAAATGAGCTGCTCACTCTTGCTTTCCATAAGATCGTCTGGTTGATCTTCTCGATCGCTGTTGGATCCTCGAGAGAAGAAGCGCTCACCATCTCCCTAGTCTGCAAAGCAGCACGAAAGCTCGCTATTCCCTTCGTTTTCTCGACCTTCAGAAGATGGCCTCCGAGGAAGATAGCCCGCTGGCCCGCAGCGTTGTTCGATGTCGCGGTGTTCCCCAACGTTGCTCGCAGCGACGAGAAAAAATCGCTTTTTGCACTGGTGCACAACATATGCCTATGCGACGCTCAAACCGATACTTCCTTATTCAAACTCGTCCTCAATTGGTGCCGCAACATCAGCAATCTCTGTGTCTCCGAATACGCCCTCGACTCTTTGGTGCGCTGGAAGGGTCACGCTCTCCCTAATCTGGACATCAGCCTGCGACAACTCCCCTATGTGCAGAGCATATATAGCCCTTCATCCAGGTATCGCACGTATCCGGTCGCGAATGCGGTGACGCATCTCCGCCTTCCCGGAATACCTTTCAACGTCGGGTCCAGAGTCCCCCGCTTTCTTAGCTTCTTCGCCAATGTCACGCATGTCTCGTTCATGGTCGAAGCGCACTCCGATGATATCCTTGTTCGCGCAGTCGTCCCAGCCCGCGTGAACTCCATTCAGTACTGGATATCGAAGGCCACCCTGCCCTCGCTGCAAATGGTGGTCATCATCCTACCGTACTATCGAGGCACACCTTTATGGGACTGGTGCACTCACTATCCACGGCCTGTGCTTGTCGAGGTGTATCAGCACGCTATTCGGACTGATCCCCGATTCTATCTCGTTCCCGTCAAATACGACTCGGATTGGAATAGGACTGCCAATGACATACACGACAGCTGGGAGGCAGAAGTGAGAAGTGGCGATTCTTTGTGGGAGCAGGCCCTGCGTGTGCGGCAGATCTGCATATCATGATCATAGTGTATCCGTTCATCAGTCGAAAAATTATCGAATCCAACGCACGGTGCGTATGTCGTATGGCTTGCATCACGAACGACGACAGGAAATTCAATGTATCTGTATTAGGACCCGCTTCCGGACGACGATCATTCCATAACTTCGGCCCTTTCCTCCAGTCACAGGGCAATGTCGATACAAGTAGCGCATCCATGCCTACTTCGTTGACCGCTATCACCCACGTCGTCTTTATCTCCTCCAATCGAGAACAGCGTGCCTTCTTGCGCTACGTGCGCGCAGGACCAGTGCCCTACGCTCTTCGTCACGCTGACAGACTGGTCGTCGTGGACGCTGGATTTGACCAGTTGTGCAAAGATTGGGAGGCGGAGGCCTGGGGCGCGGAGAGCGTATGGGACGAGGCGGTCCCGAGAATCATTGTCCCGGAAGGTTGCCAAACGTGCCCCGAGGCTGACTTGCTGACTTTCATATTTCAAGCTTGCTCCATTGACGTCGCACAGTGTAAATCACAAACGCGTTTTGTACTAATATCTCGCCCTGGAACAGCTCGCTATAGCGAGGGTTGTATCATGGTGTGATTGCGCCTGGCTGGGGTGTATATGTTTGCATGCGTGCTTAGGCGCCCGTGACAATGAACGAGATAGCACCTTGATGTCTTACCGCTATGACTTCCGCCCTTTCCCATCCCATCGCGAGGTTTCGAAAGCGTAGTGGATATGCTTGAAGATGTCCTCTCGCGAGTCGTCGCAGGGTTCACCCGACCTACAGCGTCGTCGCTTGCGAAGACTCGTCCGAAACCGCTGGCCTCCTCTCAGTCTACACCTCGGACATCCCGCAAACATGATCGTGTACCCAACGAACAGCGCCTCAATCGCGGCGAGTTGAAGACGGCCAGGCACCTCAGGCGATTGCCCATCGAGCTCGTCTGGCATATCCTCGACCTCCTAGCGTGCATATCCAAACAGGACGCCCTCGCCGTCTCCCTTGTCTGCCACGAAGCCCGGCGATATGCCTTCCCCCGTGCTCTATCCGTCCTCACCTGGCCTCATGCCCGCTCTTCCAGCTCGTTCAGCTGGTCACCCGAGCGCGTACCCGCCTTTCTGTCCAACGCCCGCCACGTCTGCATCCCGGACGCCTATTCCTCCTCCTACGTGCACACCACCCTCTTCACCCTCTTCCCACACCTCTCCAGCATCTACACCTGCGAGTACCTCTTCCGGAGTCCCATGCTCTGGAACCACATCGTGCCGCCCCCACACGCCGGCCGGCCCAGCCCGCTGCTCTCCGTCACGCTACAGGACCGGCCGATATCGTTCGGTGACGGAACTCACAGATCCCCGCTCGCGCGCCACGTTGAGCGCCTTCGCCTTCCCGTGCTCTGGTTCACGCCCGTCGTGGCCACCGACATGCCCGTGTTCCTCCGGTGCTTCCCCGCGCTCGGTTACCTCGCGCTCCCCGTCGTCCCTACGCTCGACGGCTCGGCCCGCGATGCCAATGTTGAGCAGCGCGTGCGTGCCGTCGTGCGCTGGGTCCGGCGCGCGGGCGTACCTTCATTACGGATGATCGTGCTTGTTCTGCACCGAAAGGCGTGGATCGCGTTGAATAGCGGTATGAAGCTTCACTCCAGGAAAATGTTTGAGCGCCTTTGCGAGTTCGCGATGGCGTTGGACGAGAGGGTTCATCTCGTGGTTGTGGACACGGCGTGTGACGAGCTGCGGAAGGAGTGGGAAGCGGAGGCCTGGGGCGCGGAGAGCATCTGGGACAAGGCGGCCCGTACACGGAGGGGCCTGATGCGCCAAGCCGCAGAGAATAACGTCAAACGTCTTCCCTAAGGACAAGCTAATAGCTGGACACATGAGGCAATATCCAAACTCGCAGAGCGCACATTTCCAACTTTGTGGGTTAATTTATGCGCTTGTGAGAACGAAGATCTAGGGGTCTATAGCTCTATGACCTTGCCCACGTCTCCTAGGAGGACGTTATCTATCAACCTCGTCCTGCCCACCCACATCGCCCCACTGAGAATCACCGGATGGGCCGGGTTCACGTCCGTGCTCTTTAGCCCGCCCTCCAGCACCTCGAACGTGTCCGAATCGTTCATCTCAACGTAATCGAGCTGGACATCCACCTCTCCGTAGCCAGACTTCGCCTCCTGCCGCGCCTTCTCGACGACGTCCACCGCGGTCCGGATGCTCTCGTCTTTGCTCGCGCCGGACTCCCAGGCGGATTTGGCGGCGTTGAGAGCGGCGTAGAGGGTCGGTGCGACGCGGCGATCGGAGGGCGAGAGGTACGCGTTGCGGGAGGAGAGCGCGAGTCCGTCGGTCGGATCGCGCATCGTGGGCACGATGTGTAACCGATCAGGCGAAGGGTACGCCATGAGGAGGTCCTTCACCATGCGCTTAAGGAGGAGCGCCTGCTGGATGTCTTTTTGCCCGAAGTAGGTGTGGTCCGGCTGCGGAGGACTTTCTATTAGCCTTTCGGCGCACCACGAACAAGACGCGGAATTCACGTTACCTGGATGGCGTTAAAAAGTTTTGTTACGACTGTGGCGACGCCTCGGAAGAACGTCGGTCGGCTGCGGCCCTCCATCTGGTGCCCGTACCCCTTCACCTCGACAAACGTCCCCTTCTGCTCAGCCACGTCCTGCGTGATGCCGGAGGGGTACATCTCCAGCACCGTTGGCGCAAAGACGGCGGAGGGCTTGCGAACCCGTGCTGGATCTTCAGTGGTGGGATGTGGTAGAGAGAGCGCATTGAGGAGCTCAAGGTCGTGCGGGAGCGTGCGGGGGTAGGTCGCGAGGTCTTCGTGGGGCGCGAACTGGGCTGGGTTCACGAATATGGAGAGGACCGTGAGGTCGTTCGATTGTAGGCTGCGCTTTACTGATCAAAATAATAATAAAGAAAGGAGAACCGGCAATTTTCAGAGTTGCGCAGTGAGAGAATTTGGTATGTCCATACCGAGAGAGAGATGGCCCTCGTGCAGCGCGCCCATCGTCGCGACGAATCCTACCGATTTGCCCTCGCGAAATGCCCTGTGTCGCCATTCGCGGTAGGCGGCGAGCGTCGTGAAGATCGGGATGCCCGACGGCGGCAAGTCTTGAGCGGACGACATCGCGCGAGCGATCCAGCGAGCTCCGATTTTGTGTGTGCTGGCCGAGCAGCGAGAGAGCCGAAGCATAAAGCGCTTGCGTCCGCAGACGAGACTGAGAGAGGTATTGTACTATCGTACGAGTCGGACGGGCAAAATCATTGCGATGGAGTGGGCATTCCGGCAGGCGCGGTGGTCAGGATGGCGAGTGGGCGCTGTCACGTGCAATCGATACGTCTTTTCCGACATAACGTCGACGAGGAGCCTTTGTTTTGTGCAGGCGTTCCCCTCGGGCGTTCTGGACCATCGAACCCTCCACTCTATGTAGAAAAGCGCTGTGCCCTGCGTATCGCCCTGGATATGTCGTAACTTGATTACCTGAGCTTGTCTCAGGTATCTCCCAGCCCGTAATTAGTCAGCATCGCTAATGGTGGCTGTGTTCGCAAGTTCAATCCCTGATTTAGTTCTCCGACTTAAAAACAAAACCGACGAACGTGCACGGTAAACGGCAAACATACACCGTAGATTCTACGCAAACTTCACTGATATGTACATGATTTGTTGGGCTACGGCGGTGCAAGCGAAGGTGGATCGGCGGGACCCCGTCCTTTCCTCTAGTGAAGAGGACGCTGGCACAAAATATCAACCGCTCGGCGTGGCGCTTCTGCCGCGAGTCGAAGCGCTCAGGTGACGCTGTTTAGTGGGAAGGCCGGCGCCATGATTGGGTGCGGAGGCGCCGATAAGGTCCAGATCACCGTTTCGCTTGCCCCGCCTTCCCCACACCGCGCCGACCGCCGAACCCCCGCAGGTAAATGAGAAGGCGCGCTGAGACTATATAGACTTGGGAGGGGAAGCCCGATCCGTCTTTGGGCAGCTCTTCCAGGCACTTCTCGCACCCGTCTCGCGCGTCCGTTTCCCCACCCATTCCATCTGATCCATCTCTTGGCGGATCTCTTTGCGGAAGGAACTCAATAAGGATGGAGAAGGCACATGTACAGGAACATTCACGGACGTCGGCGTCATCGACGGACGCTTCCGATGAGAAAGGGCGCGCGCGGCAGATCGAGGACGTCGGCGTCGCCGCCGATAGGGAGAAAAACGCGGTGGACGCCCGCGGCGCGGGCGAGATCGATACGTCCGGGGTCGACGAGCGCAAGCTGCTGCGCAAGCTCGATCTGGCGCTCATACCGTGGCTGTCGTTCTTGTATCTGCTGAGCTTCCTCGACCGCACGAGCATAGGCAACGCGAAGGTGCGTTATACGTTGAATGACACGCATATATGCGCTGATAATGGATGCCGGTTAGCTTTATGGTTTGGAGAAGGACTTACACATTAATGATTCGCAATATAACATTGCACTCATGATCTTCTTCATTTCTTACGCGATATTCGAGGTTAGTCGACCCCCTTCTTTCCTCGAGATTAACGAATTAAGCGTATATATGCGTTCAGGTGCCTTCGAACGTTTTCCTGAAGCGTCTTAGGCCCTCGATCTGGCTCTCGCTTCTCATGTTCCTGTGGGGCATCATGATGGTGCGCTTCTTCAGTCCTCATCGTGAATGAAGTCACGCTGAAATACGGGATCTATAGACCGTACAGGGACTGGTACACAACTACGGAGGGTTGTTGGGCATGCGATGGATGCTCGGTTTATTCGAGGCTGGGTTGTTCCCTGGAGGTGAGTCCGCCCTGTTGGTAACCTGCGTTGTACTGAACCATGTTCACAGTCAACTTCTACCTCTCTTGGTATGCATATATGCGTCCTGAATATATGCGTCAATTAATGACATGATACGTCCTCAGCTGGTACAAGCGCTCGGAATTTGGCATTCGAGCAGCCATCTTCTTCGCGGCCGCGACTGTCAGCGGCGCTTTTGGCGGCCTATTGGCTGTAAGCCCTTCGCCGACCTCGTCGAGAAAACGCGGGCTGATCGCACACGTTCGCAGGCCGCCATCGCCAACATGGATGGTGTCGCTGGCAAACCCGGCTGGTACGTGCCGCCCCCTCCCCCTCATCACTCTCACATTAACCCAATCGCATCATCTGATTCAACACTTCGTGTATCAGGGCATGGATTTTCATCCTCGAAGGCCTCATCACCGTCATCGCCGGCGCGCTCTCGCCCTTCATCATCCAAGACTTCCCCGACACCGCCAAGTTCCTGACCGAGCCCGAGCGCGCGTTCATCGTGAAGCGGCTCCAGTCCGACAACCAGTTCAGCGCCGCGGGCGAGGACCTCAAGTGGAAGTATATCCTCAAGAGCCTGTTGGACGTCAAGACTTGGATCGCGAGTGGGTACCACGTTCCACGCGGTCTCTATGGTGCTCATCGATGTAAAACCCAATAGTGCTGGTCTATGCGGGCAGTGACGGGCCGTTGTATGCGTTTTCCCTGTTCCTGCCGAGCATCATCAGCCAGCTCGGATTCAAGGCTACGCCGGCGAACCTGTTGACTGTTCCCGTCTATGTCTTCGCCTGCATCGTCACCATCGCGGCCGGGTTGTACGCCGATCGGAAAGGCCGTCGCGGTATACAAAACATGTTGCGTCTTTCCTCCTCCATTTTCAGCTTCCTCGCAGCCGATGGTGACCGCCATTTCGTAGGGTTTTCCTGTGCGTCGGTGCTGTCGGCTACATCATCCTCATCGTGTCGCGGAACGCGACGTTGTCGTATATCGCTGTGTATCTCGCCGCTGCGTAAGTGATCCCTGATCCGCAATCGGCGCTGTTGATGTCCGCTGACCGGAGCTGCGATCTGCGATCTGAAACAGCGGGATTTATCCCAACATACGTGAGTTTGATTTCGCCGTTCCGATCAACCGAACGGAATGATTTGACGCCGGAGGATTGCCATTGATATAGCGAACACGATGTGAGTGATTGGTGATAGATGACGTTCCTCGGGGATTCCGATTGATGCCTTTCTGTGCTAACAGTGCATGGGTATCCAATAACGTCGAAGGGTCATATAAACGCGGTGTTTCTCTGGCCATGGTGATAGGATTGTGGGTGGACCCACGGCTGGCGTAGTGGATGGTTAGCTGACTCTCTGACCGCAGCGGCAACATCAACGGGGCCGTCTCCTCCAACGTGGTAAGTTCTCCGCAGGCTGTCGGTTTTGTGGGCAAGCCGGTTCTGATGCCGAGGACGTGCAGTATCGAGGGCAGGATAAACCGTGGTACACGCTCGGGCACGGCATCGTCTTGATGTACATCGGAATCGGTGCGCGTTTCAGACACTCGCGCTATGTTTCACCTCGGCTGACCGTCATCGACATGTCGCCAGGATTGATCACGTCCGTCATATACTACATCGTGCTTCGGCGCGAGAACGCGGCGCGCGACCGCGGCGATCGGGACGAGATCATCAAGGGCGTCAACGACGACCCGGCGACGCTCAACTCGCGTCTGGCGGCGAACGGCCGGTTCGAGAGCGTCGACGACGCGCAGAGGGAGAAGGGTGACGAATGGAGCGGATACCGCTACACGTTATGAGGGAGCCGCCGGTCCTCCAGCACCGAGCAAACGACATATCATGTATCCATAGATTGTTTGACTGTATGAAACCCGTGATCACAACAAGGGTATATAAGTCGAGTAACAAAACAAGCTGGGTGCGAAGGTCGAAGTTTCCGGGTAATTCGGCAGCAACCACCGCCGACCATGCAGATCTTCATGGACACAACATCCCGTTCTTGGCCTGATGACCTGGCGAAGCTTGCACTATGGTAGGGAATAAGGTTGGCTGGCGCGACTGGGTTGCAGTAACTGTTACCTACAGTGGTTCTTGAGCTGATATGGCCGGGTGCGCTTGAAGGTTCTCCCACAGGAGCAGCGCAGATCGGGCAGCTCCGTATGCACCTCCTTATAATGGCGGCTGTAGTCGCGCTTGTGCTTGTACTTGCAAGTGCATGCAGGGGCCGGGCAGCCGAAGTGGCCGTTGGCGAGTAGGACAGCATCGGGGTATATGGTGGGGTCTCTGGCGAGGAGACAAAGGGTGAGCGAGCTGCTCTGGTTCTGTTGGCTTCGCGTTGGACTCACGCTAACGTGTCCGCAGTACCTGAAATCTCAGATGTCGCCGAATCCGACGACGGCGGGGTCTGCGGGGGAGATTGTGCAGCCGAGGAGCTGGCGGGATATTGTCAGAGTCGACTGCGGATCGACGAGCACCCAGCAGCCCAGGACATACACCGTCTGCAACTGACCCTGTGCTTGCTGCACGAAATCGAGCAAGCCGTCGTGGCGAGGGTGAGTGAACGCGCCCGGGATCGCGGCGAGAGGGGACGGCACGGCAACTTGGAGGTAGGGGAGGGCGGCGGCGGCGTTGGAGAACTGCAGTATGTGCTGGAGCATTGCGAGCAACGCGTGGGTCTGCGGCTCCTCTGTCGTATCTTCAGCGCCGGAAGACGAGGTACGGTGAGGCTGGTCCATCGTGAGCCGGGAGTCAGAGGAGGGAGAAGGGCGGTGGACCCAGCAGGGACCGAAGGATATGATGACCTTCCCCAAGATCCCACAGACAACGGCTTCGGCGACGGTCCGGAAGGGGGGCGAGGGAGGGTGGCCATGCTTAATTACACCGGTGAGCTGCTGTGCGGCCCAGCCCGCGCATGTGACTTGGCGGGCGGACGGGCGGGCGGGCGGTGTTCGTGTAGTCGAATCCCATTACGACGGCCCGGTTCTGGGCTGAGGCGCGAGTTCATCGCAGCCGTGGGCAGAGGGGAGGCGGAGGCGGTCGAGGTGCGTGGCACGTCCCCGAGCGGGGAGGAAGAAAGGAGGAAGGAACGGTGATTCCGGTGCCTGCGTGGTCGACGTCAACACCGCAATGATACGCTTGGGTGAGAAGAACTTACTATTTAGGAATCGCTTTTAGGGTTCAAATTGCATGCACCGGTATAATCAGCGGGGCATTCAGAATCTTCTTCAAGTTCGTCTTCGTAAAGAGTCTGTGATCCCGCCAGATGGTGTCGGCAACGTTTCATCCTTACTTTTCGGTCCGTGGCCGAAGCAGCCGCAGATTCGTGGTCATGCCATTCCCCGGTACTGCCAGTGCATCTCACACGTAAAAGCGAGTAGCTGTCTCGGCCTCTGCGCACAACGTCCATGCACTCTGCTTGTTTTGGAAACCTGAACGGACGAAAGCGCAGCCTGGAGTCGACGAAATCCGCCGGCCCAATTCAACGGCCCGCCTGCGAGAAGGTGAGAATTCACCTGTCATCGGAACGCGTGTAAATATAGCTGTGTCACGATGTCGATTGAGCGAGCTCCACGACGAGCATGGTCATCATCCTCGCGTCCTAGTGTCAGTCACAATGCAAGTGAGAAAGTTGGAGGCGTTACCTGCATACGCATCGTGCCTCACATTGAATTCAGGGAGCCGCGATTGGGTGCACTGTTTCCGGCGACGAAAGCAGAAGTCAGATTTCTTCGCGCAGTCATTCTGTATTGTCATAAAGTTCCATACTTGCGGACGTGACTGTAAATACTGTGTCGGTCACGTCTGCATGTACAGCACTCACGCATGCGTGCACGTACCGGCGGAGGACGTATATAGCTTGAGAGTCTTGGGGTTGAGAAGAGAGACCTTCCATAGCCTTTCATTCTACCACTTGAGGAATGTCGGCCCAAGCCTTACTCAGTAGCGCCCAGTTATCATCCAAATTTGCCGCATTCGCAGGTACTCGGTTAGGCCGACCAGCACGATGCAGGAGGTTTGATGAATGTCGCCTAATGACGATGCGTAATCCTGCGAAGCGCGAGCTATGTGCAAACGCTCAGTACGAAGAAAAATTAGATGCCGATTGTACGATGACAGTAGCTCGCATCGTCGCACGCAGATACCAATAGACAGTAGCTACATTCGTCCTTCCGCTGATCTTGTTGAATATTGACGAAACGCGTTCCGGACAGCGTACCGGTGATCCGATATAGGAACTTCACCGCCTCATAAATTGGGTTTGGATGGGGCATAGCCAAGGCCAAGGTCAGAATCAGATTATAACGGAGCAGCGATCATGTCAGCACAGCCTAGCACAACACCTACGCAAATAAACATCACCTAGGTACCTATGCTAAACGTCTGTAAGGGGACGAAGCAGCATAATCGGGACCAGAATCGACACCTTCAGCCCAATGACGGGCTTTTGCCTGCGCTATACTCATGTCCCCGACAAGGACACGCTCGAGGAGCGTTTCGGCGTGCTACGACGCCATTGGATCAGCTTTCAACGACGACTGCGCACTTGGAAACACGGCCGACGAACTGGGAAGACATGGTCAAGCCCTGTACGCGTGGAGATGACAGCGCAGGTACGTACTGCGCCGGGGGAGGCCTCTAGCGAGTTGTGTTAGAGACCACGCTCCTCGCCAACGCCGATGCCGGCTGCAGGTGCGGCTGGAATGCGAATTGGCATGGCGACCTGACCAGCCGGGCTGGCGACGGAGGGTTTGCGTTTAGAGAAGAGTTCGAGTAGTTCGAACGCGATATTGTTCGCTTCGTCAGTTCCTGACGACGACCCAGAAGGCGAGGAGCATGTAGCACGATCCATCATCAGTTGGGGTGGAGTGAGGGCGCGTGTAGTAGCGATCCGGCGCGTCCCCTCAAGATATTTGAGGGAATGTTCAAGTCAACCGGTCGTGACACGCGTGACTCCTACGATGAGCGATTTCAATACGCATAACACCCTCCTGGCATCCTGGAATGGGTCGAGGAGCTCATAATTTCTGATGTTCTTGACTGCGGGCAGGGAACCTGTTGGAGTTCGCGTGTGTGTCACGTTGTGACTGCAAGGACGTTCACGAACACGGACCATAGATGGACTAGCAGCTAGGGAGTAGAAATTACGTGTATCATGGATAGGCCAATGGCAGGAGACGCCAACACTGCCTAGATGAGCAGCGGAACCTAGGGCTGTTCTTTCGCATGGCATTGTTGCGCCTTGTGTGACTGTGGTTTTCCTTTTTCAGTCCGGCGAACGACAAAATCGACGAAGATAATCCAGGCTCGCTTACTGGACGCCCGTCATCCCCGGCGGAACTACATGAATGAACCACAACCGCCGCACCGTCATAACACGTAAAGTTCGTGGGGCCTCATCCTGTCCTTCCAAGCCAATAATCAAAGCGCATCCGCCCGAAATGGCACTTTTTGTCGAATCGATGAGGCCTTGCGTTGAAGACGGAGATATCGAAGTAGTGACCATCCTTCATGGGGGCTATCTGTCACGGGATCAACTTCGGCTTCGTTGCGGGACGATGGCCTCGTATGGGCATGGTTGCAATGACCAAGGGACTTCGCGCGGAATGTGGGACCTTGATGACGTTACGTAATCACGTTCAGCTTGGGCGTGTACAGGCAGGACTGGCTTTCCCATCTGCTTCCCATTGCCCCATTGTAAGTATGGAATTGGCGGCACTGGTGGATCTTCCCTTGGAAGCTCTAGATTGCCCTAAATTTCTTGATTGCATATCGACAGGCGCCTTGGGTCCGGACGAAGATGATTATCGTGGGATGGATCCACAGCTGAAGCGCTGAGAGCGCAAGGATGAACGCGCTGCACGGTATTCATAGTGTGGACATGTGGTATCAAACTTCTCATGTATCTGTCCGTTCCAGAAGCTCTGAGTAACGTTTTGATTCTAGTAGATTTGAGCAGACGTGGCTGCTGCGGGGACACATGCGATTTCGACTGAGTCTCAGTTTGGATTATTCGCGCCGAGCAAGCGCTCCCGCGATCAAGCGCCGATTGTGCGACCCGAGATTCGCTGTCGCTTCCGCTGCTCGCGGGATGGTTCAATCTCTTCCACTGACTTGTCCGCTCAGTCCGCTGCTGGGCGGGATTGGGACGAGCACCACCTTTCCCGTCGTATTCTATGCGTTTACCTCGCCACATACGCCTTCAGTTACCTATCAAAACCTCTACTAATACCGTGACTCGGCTCGCGCCCTCGCGGCACCAACCGGTGCTGGCACCTTCGCCCAAACTAGGCCCCTCCGGCCCCCATAACTTTCTAGTGTGTCCACCGCTTATATCGCATATACACTGACATCCACGACTCAAATACTAGATGTCTGTGTGGCCCACGGGACTTGCACAGTGCTATCGACGGAAATATACGGATATCCTGAGGAAATCGGAATGTTGGCGTTCGCAGTATCGAGTAATGCGCAGTACGGACTGAGGTGTGGGGGAGGCGCATTCTTATCGATGTGCTGGCGCGACCATGCGCACGGGTTCACGCTTCGCTGTGGTGTTGCTCGTCCGGACATCCTCATAGGATCATGGCGTGTCCGCGCCATGGCGCCGCCAAGTTCAACATCCTTAAAATGAGCTCGAACGCCACGAGGGACCAAGATGGGGAAGCGCACATATATCACGTACTGAAGACAGCTCGGGCAGCATTGTCTCACCCACCATGGTCACCCAGACGCATTCTAGTCTTTGCGGCTGTCATCGATGTGTGCGAGGAGGCACCTCCACGCCAATGTATTTGTCTGGGATAACGGATAATCCGGTCGGGCACGTTGTCTTTTCTGCCGCGATCCCTGCTACCAATGCTACTCATCCATCTGGCAGCCTCTCAACGTCGATGCAGACGATGCGCGCCGTGCGCAACCACGCCGTAGCAACGTCGCATCAGCAGTATCAATTGTACGCATTCTTACTCTCCCTAACATCCGGTCACCGAAGGCTTATCGACGTTTAGTGATAGGAGGGTTTGTATTCCCTCGCATTCAGCTCAGGTTCTGCCTCATGGAATACATGCCCAGCAGTGAGCTAGCATCTCGATCGCTTGGATGCGTTCTGAGCCTTGTGCATCAGAATGTCCCCAATCGTGTCCCGCAGCAGCGCGGCCCCTGTAGCGTTTCCGTCTCTTCCATCCTCGTCGGCGGATGGTATGTTTCTCCGCAAACGATTTCTGCCTGGACACTAATTACGCTCTTCGCAGCCGCCCTTCCACAGGGAGCCATGAGGCACATATGCTATGAAGCGCCGTGCTGTGGTACTCATGGCTTCTCCAGAGCGTACGATCTCAAAAGGCACAAGGAACAGGTTCACGATGGTGTGCGGCTTGATTGCCCGTATGGCTGCGGTCACAGGGTACAGCGCAAGGAGCATCTCCAAACCCACTGTACGTGAACCCATGAAGTCTCCAGTGCTACTTGATCTGATGCCATGCGCATGTCTATCCAGACCGTTCATGTCCTGTATATGCGCAGGTGTCATCCTCTATAGCGCCGTTCCATCAACCCTCGCCGCCATGAACAATCAGCACCGTCAAGCACCGGACCAGACACCACAGCGCCGCCCCACCAACTCCATAAACCTACTAGGTATCATTTCGACTCACACTTTTCCGACACCTCAGGACTTGGACAACTCCCGGATCGACTCAGGACATTCCATCAGATTTATTCATTGGCGAAGGATCCGGCCCACGCTGTCCTTCGCTGGCTGATCGCAAGCCTCTTCGGAGGCTCTTCCTCTGTTGATCGCCTCCCACCATAACGTCGCCGCAGGTGACGTGGGTGCCGGTCTGCAGCTGGAACCGTTAGGGCTACGCACACCGCCACGCTCATACAAAACGCATCGACTTAGTCAAACACCTGATGACATGACGATTTAGTGTTCTGAACCTGGATGCCGTCGACGACATGACCTGGCCTCGCGTCGAGTGTTGCAGTTGACTTCTAGCGCAGTATCTTGATTGCCATATTCTGTACTACATTTATTTGTTTGTTCGCGAGCAATTCGTTGAGGTTTCGCATACCTTGATGCGATGCCATCGGGAGAATCAAGATGGATCCGTGAATTCGATAGCCCTCGGAGCTCGCCTGTGTACGATGCTACTCACGCGGCGGTTAAGCGCCCATGGATATGCCTTCTCCAACAGCTCACTGTCTCACCGGCGGCATGAGGTTTGCGTGCACCCCGAAAATCCCGCAACAGGATTAAAGTGGATGCATAAGATGGGTTTCAGCACGGCTTGAAGTATTTCGCCTCAGCCCTGATATGTATGTGACAGTCGTATACTAGCGCTCGTTATGCGGACCATCACACATATCACATCAACGTTTTGTCCACCGGTCCTTCCTGCCCTGTGTCTCGGGACGACATATTCCTGACACTCTACTGGGCGGCAAATTTGGAAATCATGCATCGGCGTTAGCCACTGTCAGATGCAACCGATGTAACTGTTGGGTATAGTTAGCAAAGGTCATGCGATGGGGAGGAGTGGATGCAAGAGGGCGTGCAATATCGCTTCCAAGGTGTGATCATGGTAAATGACCGGACATACACACAGCGGAGGCCACGAATTTTCGAGTAGTGGTGTGGCAGATCATGTCCCTGAGTTCGTGGACCATGTCCTGGAGCGAGGACTTGCTAACTCTGAATATCAGGAACACAGCTAGTCCGCTCAGGATGGTACAGATTTGAGAAATGGCCCAGCGGTGGATAGCCCGAGTGATACCATCCTGCGCGCGGGAATAAGAGCTCTTGAAACGCGACCACATCGTATTTTGTGCTCGAGAATTGTAGTCTGGGTGGGGTAACTAAGCAGCAGGTCAGCCGAGTGCGACACATATGGAAAGGCCTCCTTACCTGAGTACATTCTTCATATTGTGACGAGCTGTTGCAAGATATCGGAGAAACGTTCCGGGCATGATTAGGGTAAGGGCGTGGACGACACGATGTTGTGCTTCCGGCCATTGGAGCATGTGCTTTACCCATCGAGGTGGAGCGTTTACGCTGTGACAGGGTGAAGTGGTTCAGACGTAGGTGTGTCGTGGCGCTCTTGCAAAGACGCAAAGACAAGAGACCACCAGATCCAAATGGTGACCGAGAAATTGAGATAGCAGCGTTGACTGGGCGAGCAATGTCGACCAGTCTTATGTCCTTTATAGATGTGGGCCATGGTGCAGACGCTAACAACTCGCAACACAGATTTTACACGCGTACATCGTCAGCACACGCCAACGCCAAAGCATTCAATTAAGCAGGGAGGCGTTGTCGTGGGAAGAAATGGCGCGGACAAAATGTCGGAGTTGGCGTCACGGCGCTGACCTTCCTCGGCCTTGCTGCCCCTCTTCCGCGGATGACTTGATGCTCAGGCTTCTTTACTGAGAACGCGCTACCTGTAACCTGCACAGGCACTAGATGATCCGGGGCCCAAGCTATGTACAACGCCAATCCGACGGCATCCGCGACGATAACACCCATACGGACCGTCGGGCGTGGCAAGCTCAGGCTCATCTTAGGTTGTATCAATCATCTTGCGCAGGAGAAGCTCAAGATAGCATTGAATCGAGGTTGCTTGCGATGGGCGGTGCATATCGGGCAAACAAGTACGGCTTGATGGAATAGCTTTGGCGTCACGGTGGGTGCGGAGCTTCGTACCCGGACTTCTTGAATTTTGTGACATGGATCTCGTGCTCACGGATTTCACAAACAGGCGAACTGAACAATATCGGTCGGAAGCAGACGGATATGGACCTACGGACGCACATGGTACGTCAACAAGATGAAGAGCTATATAGCCGTCGATGCAAGCTGACGCCGGTTTGTTCAGATCACAACTACTTCGTCTCTGACCTTAACACAAAATCATCATGACTGCACCTCCCTACCGGCAATATCTCTGGGACGATCCTTTTGCCAGTCCCAGTCCTTGGGTTCAGTTCTCGTCCCAAGCCCCGTCTGCTTCCCTCGACTCTGTCCGCTTGACGGCAAACGTCGCCCATCGGGTTCCCCAGCTGGCTACCCCGACCCATATACAGGCTGCCCCACTGCCTTATCGGGATACGGAGGGTTTGATTCATTCCTTCACGCAGAACGGCGTGCAGACCATGTGCCTCGCAGAGGTCCCCACCGCGTCCGCGCCACCACATGCTGCTTATGACTATCAGGCCGCGGGCGCTCAAGAAAGGTGTGCTGTGTGATCTCTGTCATTCTCCGCAATCTCTCACGCCCGCTCAGTGGTCCCAACCTGATCGCGGATACGTCCGTTATCTCGCGCCCCGATGCTATACGACCACCGAGCGACCCTCCTTCTCCGATCACCAGGCGTCATAGCTGCAAGTTCCTTGGCTGTGCAAGGGCATTCAGCAGGTACGCGGATGCTAAGCGCCACTACCAACAGGTCCACGATAAGAAGCGCCATTGTTGTGGCCATTGCTCGAAGACATTCCAGAGGGTATACCAGCTCCGGAAACATGGTGCGCCCTCAGCCTCAATATAATCGCTCGATTGCAGATACACTCTTGTTGCGTCACTATCCAGAACGCGAATGTCATCACATCGAAAACCCTGTCGCGCAGCCAATGCGGAGGACTGACGAGTATGTCGCCCCTGTGCCGGAGACGTTATCCTCGGGTGCAGTGCTTGCGCTATAATATCAAACAGACTGACTTCAAGCTCGGGGGTGCGCTAGTGCGATGCCATGTAATGTGCTACTCTATAGACCAGCAATACTATGTGTGCATCCCTGGGGCGCCCTCTCACGGGTTCGAATAAAAATACCAGAAATGCGAATTAAGATGTGCAGTCATCAGCACGGTGCGTGCTACATTCCTGAAATATGTCGACCAACGGTCAACCCTCGAGTTGGAAAGGCAGAGGTCTACAACGCGGCGTCGACAGCGAGATGTTCCCGCGACAAGTTCGCTGCCGGCAAGAAATGGGTTAGCAGTGCTCCGACGAAAGTCGTCAGGGCAATACTCACAATGGTTGACCAATTGATACTTGGAGGTGCTCTGGAAGGTCCTTCCGCACGCACACCGCAGAGAACGCAGATCGTCGTGCGCTTACGTATAATGACGAGAATCATCTCGGTTATGCTTGTACTTACGGCGGCACATGGGGAGAGGGCACCGAAAGCGACCGTCAGGTAGCGAGATGGGTTCAAGAGAGCGTGGGGTCGACGTTCTGGTGATGAACACAGCATGAGACCGTAGAACTCTGACCACTTGCGTGATAAACTCACGCTGCTGTAATTTGTACGCCTGTCAAGTCGGACGGGGGTATGACATGCTCTGCATTCGACAGCATCGGTGCCCCGTCTGATGGTGCAGCTTGCAAGCTAGACTTTCGAATTTAAAACCTTAAGCCACACGTTGTTGAACGAAACGCGCCGTAGTGAATGCAGAGGAATTGAAGTCTGTATCAAACTTCGGTGCTCCGTCTGTGTCCATGACAGGCGAGGGGGATGGCGGGGGCATGTCGGACCTTTGTGCACCGAGATAGTGTGACATGTTGGCAATGTCCTGCTCGTCGCGAGCTTTCCAGGTCATCGTATCGTTGAGTGCGGCGCCATCCTCGGGGGCAGAGGGGGCAGAGCCCAAGTTTCTGAAGTTGCTGAAATACGAGTTTTTGTTCTGGTTCATTGAGCGTCAAAGCATTAAATAAGGGAGTGAGCAACGATTCATACCCGAAGTTTATGGGCCGACAGTCCACGCAGCCTGCTATCGCTCTCTGATCGCATGGAGGCATCTCGTTGCTTGCTTCGGAGTACGTTGCCTTGCACGTAGTGACTCATAGATCCGCAGGTACCGCTCCGGAGCCAAGCTGTAAAAGCTTCGTAGACTTCGGCAGCGGTAAGCGCCGCCGCGGCTGTTTCAAGTTTGGGCAGCATTAGGGTCTCCTAGCCGTGTCGTCGCTGATCGGGTGGTTACGGTAAGGTTGCCAGCACACACGAGAGGCTCGTCGGAGGTAGAGCCAAAAATTGTAACGCGTAGGGTCACGGACTCGGGCAAGGGTCGACACAGATCAGACACATACCGCCATTGGTGAGAGAAAGATCGGCCCCAATTATGCCGGATGAGGTTATACGAGATGCATCAGTGTTTTCCGTCACGAGCCACAGCCCTTTGCCAGCATCGGTAAGTGATGGGCGCGTTTGAAGGCAGCTTTTGACCGATTCGAGATCCCAGACTCCAGTCGAGCAGCCGGGATATCAACGAACATAAACAATTCTCGCAATGACTGCGGCAAACCATTGGTCTGTCGAATCTTCTTCCATAAATGCCCGAGCTCTTTTCCCGAGCTAATGATCACCCATTTTGCATGGAAACGAGCGCGCCAGTGCCTGCCAAATACAGGGGATCGTATATTAGAAATATCCCGCACGGTGCAAGTAGTAACGAGAAGATGCGACGTACAGCTCATGCTGTCAGCTGTAGTACTACATGACCAGTGGTTTCTTTCTTGCGATTATATTTTCTTCCAACTGTGCAGCCTACGGACCTCCGATTCCGACTAAGTGCTTTCGGGTTCCCGGTCAGGGGGACTCTCTATGTTTACGTAATAACACACGCTCCGTGCGTCCTGCGTTCATTCTGAAAACCAAGGAGTATCTTCGAACAAGGCTTCACAAGGACGATTTAAGACAAGACAGCATCGATATTATCACTACTCACTGCGACTCGTTCATCGGCGGAGAGGCCGATCCGGGTACGTTGAGCGAGCTTACTTGCTGTGATGATGCACTGCTTATAGTTAAGCTCTTATGTACAGGCGTGTCTACTATTACTACAGGGTGCGGGAGCCTGCGAACTCGATGTAGCACGACATTTTTCAGATAGTTGGAGTCTCGCCGACTATGACAAGGTACAGAGTAGAGTACTTCATTGTGCCGCTCGCGAACATTTCACTCGATATGATTCAGCCTCCTTCAGATGTACGAAGCTTGGAGAAAAGGAGAAAAGAAACGCGGTGAGTAGCAGATCAGCGGCGCCGTCAACAAGCGTGAGAGGTAGCCGTCATCCTCGGGCCTTGGTTTTGAGCGCTGGCCCATCGCTGTCTGCTCCAACCACAGCAGTGTTTGACACAGAACAACACTCGCCTCGTACCGCGAGACGTTAACACAACTTGTCGAGCTGCAGCTTCAACTTCGTCGTTCAGCTTCTCCCTTCAAAGACATCCAATGCTAGGCCGTGTTACAGTATCGCGGAGCTGGCACCCTGTAGCGAGTAATCCCGCAAAATGGAAACCGTTGGTGCGTCCGTCACTTGACCTCGTGTTATCTGTATGTGTTCAATATTCGAAATAGGGTTCAGGCAGCGACGCGTGAGCAACTGGCGCTGGCACTGGCGTTCTGGTTTGACTTCCCTTGCGCCACATACACCAGCAAGGCCTTCCCAGTGGCAACACGCATTGGTGTCCGCAATATGAGATACCTGGCGCATACTCGGGTCGCGAATATCGAAATGAGGTACGATGGTACGATGGTCTGCTTGGCGCCGCCATACGCCAGCTCACAAACTTCCTCCGATGCTCAAGACACCTCGGACCTATATAACTCGACAGCCCACCTCTTCAGCTTCAGCAGCACCGTCCCGACATGTCATCGAAAACCCACTCGTCCCTGTGTAGCTGCTCTGATTGCAAAACTGGTGGCACCGGGCAGCCGTTCTTGCTCTTGACAACCCCAAACCCCACTGGATACGTTGTCTTTCTCCGAGGCCCCAATATGGCACATTCTGCCAGCAACACCGCGCGTCCCGCCGGAAACATTCTGCCTCCTCACGTAACGTCCGGCATGTCAACGACATATCCTCAGTACTGTCTTCCACATGTCCTCTTGCATCGATCATAATGACTGACCATGCTGATGTATAGAAACTCGGGTCGTCTCACCGCTCAGGGATCGGTGCCGTCTACTATGGCCCCAACTTACCAGTGGGCCATGTATATTGATCACTTGGATGACACTCAACGCAGCGCGTTAGAAGATGGCCAATAGGCAGTGGTGCTGCTTCAGTCGCCGCACCCCTGGGATTAGTGTCTGCACCGTTGCACCGTGAGTCTGTCATTCCCTTGCCGTCTTGATAGATATAACATCTACCTCATCAGATGTCTCACCAACAAGGATGCACGTATGCAATGAACCGCAATGTTCTGGGAAGCGCTTCACTCGAGCGCACGACCTAAGGAGGCACGAGAAGGAGGTACACGATGGCATCAGGATCTCGTGCCCGCACAGATGCGGCACGACTGTTCAACGCACTGAGCATCTACGCAACCACTGTGAGCGGGCACAACTGCGACTCTTCGCATCATAATTTCTCACAAATTCGCGTGCATCGTAGTTCGCTCGTGCCCGGAGTTGGCGAGAGCACAGACATCTACTTCGCACGCAAACTCTGGGTCAACGCAGATGAATCCATAGGTACGTGTATCTCTCGATCATTTCTTTGCGGTTTGGACTTCCCGAGTTTGTCCATTTGCTGAACTATGCTCTCTGCAGTACTGAATTCGTCCCTGACCCCGCAAACTGCTCATAGCTATTAACATGACCCATGAGCCTCGGCGAGGCTCTCTGTGCAGACTCGAACGGCTGGATCATTCGGGCTACTCGTGGTAGGGAGATGCTGGCTTTGTTAAATAGATTCCTGTGTGGAAAACAATTCGGAGGCAGCTGCATCGCATGAGATCCGGCCAGGGTGGCTCTCGCCTTCCATTCAACAGACAGATGACTTGTCTATAATATCATGATGCCGGACATGCGACCCGGTGTTGCTTGGTAAAATTTGACAAAATTTACTTCTACCATCCCGGTTCAAGGGTACGAAGCGGTGCAGCGGAGACTTGTTGTCCGTTGGAATCATGAACACATTATACCTTGAATTTCCTCCACGGCACGGCTGATTGATATAATGCGGACCTGAAAGCGGCGCTATCGGGATGGTATCAGAATTCAATGTCAAGTGGTTCCCGATAAAGCGCCGCGCGGTGAGATACACGTTGCTGAGTGGAGCAATCAAGGTGCGGATGCGTGTACGTGATTTTCTGATCCACGTGTCCTGGCGCCTATGTCTTTGTGCAAAAGGTGAGATACTGTTGATATGCTTTATATTCATGGCACCCTACAACTGTTGAGCCTCCGCCAAAGTAAGCCCCGACAATAACCCCGTGTTCCGTGTGATTAGAGCCGGTGTAGATCCGTTGATGTGCACGACCGAAGTCATGAGCAGGGATATATGGATGGTCAAGGGCTCGGATTAGTATGGTACTCTACTTGGTATTGGACGAGAAAGTATTGGATCCTATTTACGGGCTTCAACCAGCACAGGAAAAAATTATACGGTGGGCTCGTTCTGGAAAATCTTTGCAAGCGGATCACGAAAGAACGACTTCATACCCCCGGTAGCGCACGAGTATATGGAGAGGGCAGTCAGGAGTCCTTCTTGCAGGCGGTGTCCGCATATCGAGCAGCAAGAGTACACTGCCTTCCGCCTTCCACAAGCGGAGGATCCTGATTCCGGCGTTTCGCGGCTGGTGAGCAACGGCTCCAAGTCTCCTTCATCAGAAACAAGGGTGAATGACGCGAGCGGTGATGGGAAATTCTGCGTAAAGGATAGCTTGAACTTGAAAATGCTAGTCAGCCGTTGTCGTATCTGGGGAACTGGCTGAGCGGCTCGGCGATACGAATCGCGAACGAACTTGTCAGGCCAAACTGCAGGAACAAAATGACGTGATTATTGAGCGCAGGATTTTGATCGATGCGTAGGACTTTCCATGTAGATTGAGCATCCCGCAGGATGTCCAATGGATAGCAGTGTCAGCGATCCACTGCTTGCCAGTGTTGAGCAGCTGTAGAGTACAGTAGTCAACCAGGAAGGTTCTGCGTTGTAGTATGGCCATCTAACCTGCATGAGGTGCCCGTAACGATGGCGTCTTGGGCTGGATTGTGATGTGAGGGTTGCCGGGTTGAGCCATACGGGAAGCAGGCATGATATGTTGCGATAAGGACGAGGGCGAGGGCGGAATAGGCCCGAAACAGGACGGTCAACTCTGCCCATGTAGCGGATATCTTCGTGCGATTCGATGATTCGACGAGCGACGACAAAGAGCAACGAGTGGATAGCGATGCCCTTGTTATATACTATCATCCATAGCGCCCAAGTAGCCCTTCATGTATAGAGTCGTTGGTCATGTCGACGCCAAACGCCAGAACGCCAGAGCAAGTAGCGCCAGACGGTGTACACTGTAAACGTCATGATCACCGGCACTATGCATCCGGCGATCAAGCGACAGCGCCACCGAACGCTCCTGGAGCTCCTAATCGGGGTAGATGAACAGCTTCCGCAGCTGCGCTTGGCGTGGTGACCGCTCTGGGTCTTGCGCAGCAGCAAGAACTCTAGCACAGATTAGATATATATCGTAACATATGCAAATAGCTCGCCCTCGCCCCACAGGTGATGTTGACACCTACATGGGTCATAAGACCATAGTGGTAAGTACATACTGCCTCGATCGGGTATCACATTGGTGTCCTGATAGAGAGACAGCGATGTATTGTGAACACGGCAATCTCTATGGTCCACCACGCGGCAGGGGGGGGCCTGTCGCGTGGTGGACCGTCTACTTCCTAGTGTTAGACCAAACTTCATGAAGGCCGGTTGTGTCAACTACGGCTCCTTCCAGAACCCACGATACATCGGCAACGGACTCAGATCGTGCTGTATACAATGGAGACGAACATGCCCCTTATCCACGTGTACGAAGCGCACGGGTTTGATCACCGACATAAATATGATGAATAAATGCTCGGGATAGTATTACATCAGTGGTGCATATAGATAAGTTGCAACAGTATCACCGGGATAAGCGCGCGATACATATAAGAATGCTAAGCAAAATACCGTAACGGCGTTCGTTGTATGGCAATAATATTGGACAAAAGATGTGACAAGAGCGAAATTATCAGAATGTTCCGTTTGTGATTTGGTGCCGCGAGATTTTCACTAGCAGGAGAACGATCAACAAGTGGACGTAGGCAGTTGAAGCGATGCTCACAGTGGTTGTCCCGCTGGTACCTACGAGCAAAGGTCTTTCCGCACGAGCAGCGTAAAAGAGGCTGCCCTGAATGCCTCTCTCTGTGATGACGGAGATACTCTTTTTTCATCTTGTAGGTATGCCCGCATCCATCGAATGGGCACGAAAGTCGAGCGTCGGGGAGTAGCGTAGGATCGGGAACGATCCGGGTTCTGTTACACACTGAGATCGTGCATCGTTGATTCTCCCGAGGACTCACCCTGATCTGCGTGCGGCTTTCGAAAGGGGGGCAAGAACTGTCTCAGTCGAGGGACGTAACAATTGGCTCGGCGGACTGTAGGGCCACCATCAGTCTCGCCTCCAGCTCGCATATACATAACGCGAACGTACGAAGGTTGTTCAGGAAGTAATTTCGACACCGGAGTGACCTCGCGCGGCGTGTCGTGCGGCAATGTCGTGAAGCTGCAGTACGGTGCGACTCGGGTAGGCACTTGAGGCGCATACGACGACGGAAATGCAGCGTTGTGGGATGGCATCGCAAGAGATTGCGATGGAGTAGAGAGGGCAGGCACAAGTGCACGCTGGTACAATGTAAGAGCAGCGATGCTATGAGACGGCGTTGCGGGATGGTAAGACGGGGCAGCTGCAGAAGACGCTTGGAGACCGCACCGCTCAGGAGCCTTCGCGTTGTGGGATGGCACCGAGAGACAGTATGGGTTAGGGAAGGCGAGGTCGGAGGCGGGCAGGTGCGATATATGAGTTGCGGTGGTGTGAGGCGGCAATGCGGAAGGGTAGGACGGGGCAGCTGGGATAGACGCTTGAAGAGCAGGTCGCGGGAGAGCCGCCGTGTTCCGGGATGAGACCGCGGGACAGTATGGCGGGGTCGGGAGGGCAGGGTCGGGAGCAGGCGGGTACGGCATATGAGTCGGAGTGCTTTGATGCAGCATCACTGGAGGGTAAAACGGGGTGGCCGAGGAAGATGCTTGGGGAGCATATCGCGAAGGAATTGTCTCGTTGTAGGATGACAGCCTGGGAAGGTATGGCTGGTTGGGGAGGGCGGGATCCCGGCCGGGCGGCGTCGCAGGAGGGTAGGAGGGGTTAGCTGGAGTAAATTCTTCGGGAGTATATCGTGAAGGAACCGCCGAGACGTGGACTGGCGTCGCGGGACAGTATGGCTGATTAGGGACGCTAAAATCGAGGGCGGGCGGATACACCATATGAGCCGCTAGGCTATAAGGCGGCGTTGTGAGAGGGTAGGAGGGTTCAGCTTGGGCAGGCACGTAGTGGTCGTACGTCCTGGGAACCGCGAGGTCGCGGGATGGAGTCGCGAGAGCGCAGAGGGAAGCGGAGAGGGAGATGATATCTTGGCCGCCGACGGACTGGTCCGACTCTTGAACGTCGATGTTGTAAGGCGGCGTTGCACAAAGGTAGGGTCGGTGGCCTAAGACGGAGGATCCCTGACGGAGCCAGACAGCTTGCGAGTCGCGCCTGTCGCTTGCAGCTGGTGCTTGACACGGCCGGGAAGATCCAAACGGGTGCATCGTGGGTGGACAATCGTAGAGACCGAGAGGTACAGACTCGGATCCTGTGTTTTTATGGCGCGGTCCATCCAAGAGGCCAGAGGAGCTACATAGCTTGCCACGTGGGGTGTGCCCTGCAATCGTGTTGTGATGAGCTTCTCTCAGGGTATATGTTGGGTTGGGAAATGTGAATGAACCATTCTAGATAGAGAGAGAGCCAAATTCAGGCGGACCTTTCCCCACTTCGTGCACACCCCCGATCCGAGGGGCATCAGGATAAGCATGGTAGCGCCATGGCGACAACCGACACGCAGTCCATGGCCGAGAAAATTGCCATGAACGGACCCTGGCGATGAACCTGGCCTGTGGCGCGACGGTCCGAGCATGAGGAGGGGGGGACCGCCACATTGTGGGGTAGGGTTGGGGGTGAAAGATCAGGGCTCCGGATTTGAACGCGCTTGGTACCAATATTCAACGCACATAACCTATGGGAACGACCTCTGCGTTACATTCCTTTCCCAATTGCTGAATAGCTCACATAGTAATCTATTCTCGGTCCCGCACCGTTTGATGCACCATTTGATGGACGTGTCCGTATACCCCTTTGATAGACGACAGTCCCGTCGTCTGTTCTGCTCAGAGTTGTAGTGGTCAGCTACAATGGCCATTGAAACCGACGCAAAGATCACACCAATGCTCTTTCGGTCGACTTACAACTAGAACGATCCTGATGAGCCAGCCGAGGTGGGAGTAACCGTCTGTCCAGAGTATACGATGTCTACCATGGTTTGACAGTCTTGAGTCTTGTGGCCAGGGTTGGCCAATGGGCTTGCAGTACGTGGGTGCAACTGAGCTGATAGCACGGTGTTAGATGACATGTTCTGCGGACAAAGCGGGTGTTCGGCTTACCGGCCGCGCTGAAGTCGACTTGACGACCAGCGAGATGCGAATGCTCATATCTCAGAAATCAACATACTCTGTATCCGCCCGGAGACTACTACGGACTGCTTCGTAGAATCGTACTTACTGTATTTCGTAGTAAGTATTTGCATTGCGAAGACCCGGCGCTTACGTGCGCGTGTGACGTGTCACACTGCCAGATACACCTGATCGATGATCCCGCAACTCGTAGCCCGCAGTTCGAGTTCGCTCTCATGCAAATGGATGCCCCAGGTGATATGACAAAAGAGGGTACAACCAAAGAATATGCGAGAGCTGTAGGAAATAAGTACTTACTTATCTCTACTGCGCCACAACGCGTGTCAATCGTCGCGTGTATGCCGCGCCCACGATGTACTATTACTAAGCAGTTTGATTGTACGAACTCGTACAAATCATGATCATCACAAACGAACCAAAGCGGAATCTGCTTAGTTTCGGCCCTCCGAGGATGATATCGAAACGCTTTCTCGTGTATCATGTGTGCAACACGGCGCAATGCGTCTTCTTCCATTCCTCATTGTATGAAGTCGATATGCAATAGTGGTGACGGTGACGAGCTGGAGGTGACCTCTTTTTTTCACGCCGCGCTCAGGCTTGTTGCAAATGGTTGTATATTGGTCAGGTCAGTTCCGAGGGAGCGTGCCCGCGTCGATACTCACCGAGCGCTCTCGTTGCTCCTCTTGGCGATCATCAGCCATCCCGATCTGACCCCGATGTTGTTTGTTGTGTACCACGACGTGCGAGCTATCTTGCATCAATGAACGCCGACGAGTTCGGAAATGTACTCGCTGCAGGTACGCAAGATGCGCAAATGATCGTGGTAATCTTGACGCCTCAGAGTATGTTGCTAAGGCAGAACAGTCAATAGAAGGTACAGCGTGTAGTACAGTATGAAGCCGAAGTATCCAATGCGGATCTGGACATGGATCCGGTGCGATCCATACCTGCCCGCGACTAAGGATCAGAATCCGCGATGTTGAGCTGATGGGATACGTAGGTGGGCATGGCCTGCTTGCCTGATACGAACGCCGGGATGGAACGCTTCGCGGGATCTCACAGTATGACCGGAGAACGGATGAGATGACGAGGTCGCCCTTGACCCGCCCGCTAACGGCCTTATCCGGGGGCGCTGTACCCGTTGTATGTATAGAAGATTGGTCGTAAAGGCATCGCGAGCGCGCCATCTTGATTCGGCACCCAGCGACGAGGTGGCCCGCCCCGTTCAATTCCGCAAGCCCCACGAGGCATCGTGCTTCCAGCAGGTTGCATAACTAGTCAATTGACAGAGCGATCGGTTCCGTCCCTCAAGAAGGTCTGCCAATTAATGACGCGGCACGCGCTGCCGGTCTCCCAACCTAAGTTCTTCGTCAATGTATTTAGATCACGTGCACAGTCGGCTACTTCCCACACCCTCTCCCTGACCCAAATTCTTGAATAGCAGGGGTGGGTATCGGCATGATTATAATTACGCCGTACGCCAAGAACCTGATCGTAATGGCGGAGCGTGCACTCTCGCGCGCCCCGTGTACGTACATGGCGTTACCCCTACCATTTTCATGTTCTTTCAGCCTGTTGGCCCCGTTTGCTTACGGGCCCTATTGGCGTCCCTATACTCGCCCGCGCCACGAACTTCGTTCGTTCGGCCTCTCCCTTCCATAGCGGTCATGATCAATGTGGCGCTGGCGCCCCTTCCCCCGGGTGCCACCTTCTTCTGGCTCTGCCTCTCCCGAGCGGCGCTGCAGAATCGACCGGAGTGCGTGAGGATGGGTCGTGTTTCGGATCGTCGAGAGGGCATAAGACCCGACGGTGTTACCCAAACCCCCCGGCGGATGGCACAATAGCTCCACTTCCATCATGGAAGGACATAATCCCCACTGTGCTTGTAGTGCATGCTGTTTCTTCAAGAACTCCCATCGGTGCATCGACCGGTATGAATTCGATGGCGGGTTCTCGGAGACCTCGCGCAACTCGCCGACGCGTCCATCGCACATCGCGACGCCTGTCCCAGATGTCGCATATCCTGGGGGTTACGCGAGTATATCTCCTCCAAATGGAGGGTTCCCGACGTTCAATGCCCATGAACAACGACCAGCATCCGAGCCATATCCTTCGTGAGTACGAGATCCGAACGCGCATGCGCACGACCGCTCATTCCTCGATTAGTCAATTCGTCAACCCATCTCATCCCACCACCGCATATTATAGCATGCCGCAAACCACCGCGGCGATCCCTGCCCGAGAAATGGCGATCCCTCGACCACAGAACCTCTCAGACTTCACGTACGCGTACGTTGGAGAACCACACGCTTGTCATATATTGTCCCCACGATGATATTATTAGCAGGCCTGCGGCAGACAACTTCGCATTGCCGTATCAGTGAGTTACCCCTAGGTATCGGTAATCTACGATTTAGTTTTCTCGCCCTTGCAGGTACCCGGTCACAAGTGCGTGGCCGACGGAGGCAGTGAACCCTCAACAACTGCAGTTGTCCACCCCTATGTGAGTATGCTTCTTGAGCGCGCGTCTGCACGACCGACATTATTGTTGGCACCAGGTATCCGGAGGCGCCTGAGTGGGTTTCTGGATCATACACAAGACCGCAAGACAGCGTCCCCTTCACCGTTCCTCAGGCACCAATGTCGACCGCAGGATTCTTGGGCACGCCTCGGCTCGCCCATATCTGCGAGTACTGCCGAAAACCTTTCAATCGTGTTCGCGACAGGAAGAGGCACGAGGCCGAGGTACATAAAGGTCGCAGGTACAGATGCGGCGTCTTTGACTGCAACAGGTTGTTCCAGCGAAAGGATCAGCTGGTCAAGCACAGTGAGGTGCTCGCCGTCATATAGTTCCCTCACTAACATGATCTGCCAGGACGGGAGAAGCACTTCGTAGTCCCATACGCTCCCGCCCCCTCAAGTTACTATCCGCTCCCTTCGCCACCTCCATTCTCGTAATTCCTTGCTCAAGTATTCTGTCAAGATCACAAGATCATCTATCTGACATTTTCCTGCGATCGATCCAGCCTCACGGCTTCTACGACTCCTGAAGGATTACCGCGACCCCTCAGCGTCTCGATTCCTAAAACTCGCATATTTATTCGTTCGCTCCCATCAATGCTCTCGAACCGTGTTGTCTGTTGCTTGCTATCGTAACTTCCGGACATCTATACAATATGTATGCTAACCCGCCGGGGACTTGTCGACACATAGGCCCGCATTTCCTCAACCTGCTCTGTATCTATAAGGAACGCAATTACGTATCTTATCTCATATGACAAAGCCGTTTGCGAAGTCCACTTCAAGGTATATACTTATTGGCACTGTCCCAGGGTTTTCTGGGACACGTTGCAAGCCTTCACAGGAGAACCTGAGCAGCTCTCAGGCGATCCTCTCCGTGGGCCGTACCACCTCGCCGGGATGCGCTGAAGTCATCGGGAAAGCGGAGCCGTGGTAACCCCCGGACGCCTCAAGCGATGCGCCTGTGCGCCGGCCAACCAGAAGTTCACACTGACGTGTCACATCCTCGGGATCATATAATGGCGCCCCGACCGGCTCGTTCTTGGCACACCGCTCGCTGCTCGACTCTGCTCGAGACAACGACTCGACGACGACAACGACAACGATGGGGCTAAGGAATCTGTTGATGCTCGCGCTGCTTGTCGCGCCGACCTTCGTGTCGGCTGCGCTATTCCCGAAGGATACGGTGGTGAAGCAGATCGGACCCAAGGAGTTTAGGAAGGTCATGAAGCAGAACGTGAGCGTCGACGTCCTCGACATGAAATCTGGACACTGATCAGGCGATAGACGACCTCTGCAGTGGCATTCGTTGCGCCTTGGTGTGGGGTATGTATTCATAGCTATCGAGCGATCGCCCACACACTCATGTCTTCCGCGCTCAGCATTGTCAACGAATGGCGCCGGAGTACAGCAAGGCGGCACTCGGTCTCTATCCTCTCGTTCCCTTCTACGCCGTCGACTGCGATGCTCAGGCCAACAAGAAGTTGTGCGCCGAGCAAGGCGTGAAGGGCTTCCCTACCGTCAAGGTGGAGTTTCACCACCGCGCGTTCTCTTGTCGCATGCCCTGATCATGGACCTCGAACAGCTCTTCCCTCGAGGTGGAAAGGCGCCTCCCATGGAGTTTGATGGCCAGGAACGGACCGCGAGCGCGTTCTTCTATTGGGTATCAAGACGGATACCGCACTCCGTGAAGAAGCTCTACAACGTCGATGATATTCCTGGGTGGAAAAACACTGTACGATATGCTTTTGTGGTTCAAGTACGCTGTAGCTGACAGGGGCCGTATAGGATGTAGACAAACCCCGGGCGCTTCTCCTGACCAAAGACAAGAAAATCCCGCTGCTGTGGCAGGTCTTGAGCGTCAAATATGGAAAGGACATCCTCTTCGCGAGCCATCGCGATCGCAAGGGAAAGAGTTCCGTGTCGATGGGCCTGGAGGCCGGCGAGAGGGATCAGGCGAAGGTGCTGATCTACCCTCCAGGGCAGACAGAATACGTCCGCTTCGAGGGTGAGTTATCATCCACTCTTTACATTTTACATCGACTCGCTTCCTGACGCGGCACTATGCAGGCATCTTGAAACTCGACTCGCTGTCCAAGTTCTTCGACTCGGTCTTGGACGGCACCGCCGACCTGACGATCGCGAACAAGGAGGCAGCTGCGGAGGAGTACGTCGTCTCGGACGAGGAGCTCGAGATCCAGCGCAAGCAGGAGGCGCAGCGCATCGCGCTCGCGCACGGCGGCTTCTCGGACCTCATCGACTTCGAGAAGGCGGTGCTGAACGGCGCCGGGGCGGACTTTCACTCCACGAACGGCTACGCGGGCGTGATGGGCGGGCAGTACTTGAAGAAGAAGGACGGCGAGCCCGAGAGCAGCGAGGAGAAGGCGGCGAAGAAGCAGGAGGAGAAGGCGAGGCCCAAGACCCCAGATGCGGGTGCGGCGAAGGCCACTGAGACAGCTGAGGCCGATCCGAGTGTTGTGGCGGATGCGCCGGAACCGGCTGCGGAGAGCGCAGCTGAACCTCAGGTGGTGGAAGAGAAGGCGACCGGCGAGCCCGCTGCTCCGGAGGCGGAGAGCACTCCTACGACAGAGTCTCATGTCAAGGACGAACTGTGAACATACTGCTACATTATTGGGTTTCTATACTGCACTTGCATATATTTCTAGGATCTCAGTTTATCTCCAGTACCTGAGACATGGCAGAAGGGGAGCGCACTTCAGATCCCGTTCACTCCGGAGATGAGGATTGTTGTTGCAGCTTCATCTCCCAATGCAGGATAAGGCACTTTCACCGACACGACATACTCTGAGGGTAGGCGAGTTGCGCTTTCTGAACAGCAAAGCCTGGTGACGCTGGCAACAGCCTTGCCGGATTGGTGACGTGCTTCGACTGCGCTCCGTTTTGCTCTGAGCGTACAGTACGGCGCCGCACAACTTGAGAACGGCCTTGCCAGGATAGATGACCTGCGCTCCGCTGGTGTACGCCAGCGCCGGAGGAGCACCGCGTGGCAGTAAAGGTAGTATGACATCGGCATGTCCGTCCCATGCATCGTTGCCTTGTCTTGTTACCGCCGGTGGGCACGTTCCCATGCACGTCGCGACAGGCAAATCGGACAGACACGATAGCAAACACGCGCCAGAGTCGGACCGGGGTTGCGGGGAATCTTCAGTGTAGAATTGCAGCGGATCTAAGCGCCCATAATATGGGGGAGAACCTGTGCTCCCGAACACAGGCGAACACGTTTCGCTCGCGGGTCGTGAGGTGCTTGCGTTTTGTGAAACTCCTTGTTGGCAAGACAGCCGCCTCTCAGTATGAGCACGCCAGTAAGCATTGGATGAAGACGAGCAGCTGAAAGCGGGGCTAATATGGGATGGGCGTATGAATGGATCAACGAAGTCCAATGAGAAGCCCTTCTGTTCCCGGCGGACCCACGCCACTCGCATCCTTCGCTGGCGCCAACCGGTTCAGTTACACGTGTTGAGGGCTCATATTAGGCTTGCTCACTGCGCCGCTGGCGTTGGCGTCGATGGCGCTGCTCTCCCGGATCTCTTACGCATGGCGCGTTCTTTTGGCGCTCGGCGGACGCAAGAGTTCATATTCATGCGGCTGAGTGCTCTTAAGCCTTCGGAACGGGCTTTGCTGGCAACAACCATCCGATCCATCCGTGCCCTCTGCAATTCCCCTGTTCTCTTGCCTCTGGCGTGCGCCATTTTCATTTGAACTATGTCGCATCGTTGCCGGCCCCCGCCGCCTATGGGCAAACCTTGTCGCCCCACGTGTGGCTCTGGACTTGCCGGCCCGCGGCAGAGTCCGAAACCACGATGAGCTGCCGGCGGCTCGTAGAGACTCAACCGGGTTCACGAATGCATACCCGGCAACAACAAGACGTATCTCTCAATGAAGGTAAGCTATTCCATGGCATTCAGGATATCTGAGCACCGCTCACAATATTGACAGGCCTCTGCCGATACGTCAACCGGCACCTCGTCGCGACGCGCATTATCTACAGGAGAATATAATCGCCAACACAACACTCTCGCACGCGTCTCGCAACGGCCATGGCGGCCATCTTCGGCGAGCTTATTCCCTGCCGTCGTATTGCATGGTCGCGTCAGGTCTAAATCGACGCTTCGACGACAAAACCTGTCCCCTTCTTTGTTTGCCACCCTGTAACTTATATCTAAGTTAGTTGCTGGTCACATTCATTGTAAAACACTGCACGGTTCATATGTGTCTATGTTTACCTTTCCGAACTGCAATGCGTGACTTCTGTGAAACAATGGTCGACGGTCTTGCGGTTAAGTAAAATATTCGAACATTAATATGGCAAATGCGCATGAGATGCGCGCCCACGGGGCTGATACAAGCGAAAAAGTGACGATTGGGGAATTGAATGACGAAGAATCACGACCTCGAACGACTTTCATGAGAAAACAGGCAATAAATCATTGGGCGATGCAAGGAGGAGATATCCTCGGGGAGGGGCGAAGAACCGCATTTTACCCTTTCACGGCAATACTGGAGTAGAGCGGAGTGCAAGTGCGAGGCGAGGCGTCTCGTGAATAAGGCCGGACAATATGAATCACACCTCTGATGGTGGAAATGGCGGCAGGTCCAGCGAGCGCGTCGTTGGAAATCGTCTCGCGCGCGACGAGGTGCGCGTGGGCCGAGACGGTTTGGCCTTTCGGGGTTCAAGCTTGTCGATTGTATGATTCTCCCGCTCTGCAAGGAGCAATCAAGTGTTATCTGCGTTGGGACTGGCAAATGCAGACGACACGCGTACCATGTTTCGTGAGCTGGTACGGCCGTTGGAAGTCGGCTGAGCATATCAAGCAGTTGACGCGCTTGTTCTGATGAACCTGCCGGTGGTGGCGTGCGGCATCCGCTTGCCTGCTGAACGTCCTGGTGCAGTTCGGAAATGCACACCGATGACGCTTGGGCTGGTCATCGCCCGAGGACGTGGAGATAGGGCGAGGAGAAGATAACGGTGCTTGATCGATTGACGTCCTAGTAGTGGATGGCTCCGCGTGAGACAAGGCGCACGGGTGGGCAGCCACATATATAGTAACGCACCTCGGTTTATCAGCGCTCGACGTCAGTCCATTGGATTCGACGCTCAGGGGCAAGCGTGCAATGGCGCCTACCACACGTTGCGTATCCCAAGGCTGAGCCTGGGCAGGGCGGTGAAGGTAGGGTGCTTCAAGGTTACGAGCGTTCGAAATGCTGGTTGCCGCCTGTACGGGAGCGGGAGATACTAGTTGCGGATATTGAGAGGCAATGGTAGGAGAGTTATTGATGTTTCGAATATGCCAAGGGTCAGAGGATACTTCCGTGGCCGTCAAGAAATCGTGGGCGAGTGGGATGTCCCAAGCTTGAAGGTATTCCTCGTAAGTAGGAGGTGTGATCGCTCGCTGAGAGTTTTGCATGACGGCTTCGGTGGAGGTAAAAGGGTGAGTGATCCGGACCAGTACAGAGGTGGTTTTATAGTCTACGCATCGCCACGCGATTTCAAAGTTTGAAGGAGATGCACCAGCGTAGGCATCTGGTGTGACGGCTCTTTTAGTCCACAAAAGCGGTGAAACACTGGAGTGCACGGCTGTTCCTGTTTAGGGACCGTGCCCGGTAATCTACCTACCTCCCTATCTGCTTCCATTCCGCGATAAGCTTGTACAGTATTCCAAAATCGTGCTCTGATTTTGTCCTCGATCGCGAATTCGGAAACGGGACAAAAGTCCCAATCAGAGTTTGCGCCGTCCCAGCGGAACACCGATACCCAGCGTCGTGAGTACGGTGAACGTTAATGTTGGTGAGTGAAAGAGGACCGAGCAAAGCTATCGGCGTCAGGGGACGACTTTCATCGAGACACATGCACCTCCATTTCTACAATGGGGACGACCGTGATGATATAGAACTGTTCGCAACGTCGTTTGCCATGTCCGTTACGGCCAGCGTACCTTCAGCTAGGGTGTCATTCGATGACACGTTGTAGATCGTGAAGCCCACCTAACATAACCAGCAGATGCGCCACTGCAAATCCGTCGTGGATGCCAGGAGCCTTTCGGACGTTGCGGCGACGATGGTCCGGAGCAAGATCAGTGACGCCGAATACAGGAAATTGTTTGAATGTCACGCCAGCGCTGTCGTCCTGTCACACGCAACCCCCGTGACGACAGCCGCGATATCGCGGCAACGTTGAGACGGATGCCGTTTATTCTCACCCAACTTCGGGACTTTCGTTTCTCAAATGGATAGTACCAGCTTCTGTCTGGCTTGTACCTGGAGCCGACCAGGACGTGGGCGCTATTTGGGTCTGCACCAAGGAACAGGAAGACTACGGTCATGAGACTCCCCGTCGGAAACACAGCGAAATGGGTTTACCGTTGTCTCTCCACCCCGTTTCCGACGCTAGCGGTGCTGGACTTCCGGGAGCGGCTTACAGACCTCTGTCCCGTTCATCTGGGTCGGGCGTCTGTAAGGAGTTTCCTATCAAGGCTCGCATATGGCGTGCCTTACGAGGTCCGTCGACCGTCTTCTAACGAAATTCCGTGGCAATGAATTCGTGCTTGCAAGTGCTGAAGTCTGGATCGATGGAACGTGGTCGATGCCCCAGCACTGATTGATATGCTATGACCCATGCTCTCTTCAGGCACAATGCTTCTTTCTTGGATGCTCAAGGCGATACACCGAAGACACGTACGTATTGCAGGTGTCGGCGGAGCGCTCCGGCGACCATGCTGAACTTCGTCGCCGCCACATAGAATGTACTGATTCTGATAAGCTAAAGTATTGACAGACTCCTTTGCCGACAGAAGGCCCGCATATGTTTGCCGACACACTGACGAGGAAGTCCAGAAATAACGCCTCAGAACTCATCTTTGGGCTTGGCAGTTGATACTCCATACAATTGGCTGTGATTGCGACAATATTGAAGGAATGCGAAATTATCGGGCTCTCTTTGGCCGACCAAAACGGCAGATCAGGTGTTCCCGCTACTCAATCATATTTTCACCGTTCCCGCGTTTTTCATCAGTTTGATACGTCCTCCTGTACAGTTTCTGTCTAGCTGTCGATATATTCTCGTCGTCTGTCACCATCGCCGCCGTAGCAGTCATACACAATAAACTGACGGCGCAATAGATCATATAGCCGACCCACCTTCCCCGCTATGTCACCAGGGGAATTACATGGTTAGCGCAAATTTGGGCGCCAATCTTGAGGTTGACAGGCTACTGCTTTGACTGCGGCGCGATCACAGGCGGCGGAACAGCCTTGCCTTCCGAGTGGCACGATGTCTGGGAGAGCGTCAGGTGTGAATTAAGTATACAACCGATGTTACTAACCGGCAGATGACAGGCAGAGAAGGAGTGGCCCTCGGAGTACTGACGTGGGTCGCCCGACTTTCCCAACAAGTATATGAGTTTTCGGACGACAGCGTCCTGCTCTACCTGGAGTTGCTGTGCATGACGAGGTGATCGCAAATATGGATCTGCATCTTGAAGGCGACGAAGTCAGGGATATGGAGGTCAAAGAGTCTCTGCCTTTCGCGGCAGAATGGCGCTCCGTCGGGGGTGATGCAGAGAATGACAGGAAAGAACTACCTAATACTCGAAAGACCGTAGAGGAAGAAGGCTATGTGAGCAAACCGGCTATGTTTATACCACTGAACGCATGGTCAATCCTGCACGGGAGAAAGGAAGTCATTCCTTTGGTTGATCTTCGGACGCATTCACTAGCCGTGTATGTGAAACCGTGCTTATCATTCGGAGGAGAGATAATGGTGACGGAATGGTAAGCTCCAAGCGAAGCAGGAACGGATCACATCCCATTCTATGAAACCTCACGTCTCGGAAGCAATGCAAACATTTGTAACCCTTCGGAGGAGGTCTCGGTGCAATAGACAGTCGCTGAAGTCTGATATAAAAAGTTGCGAATAATCACATTTGTTTGGATGCATACCTGTCTATCGCCGGCCTTATACTCTCTCGGATATGAGCTATCGAATGAGTCTGAGTGATGCCGTAACACCCGCCTGTTGACCCGCTCCGAGGCGTTGCTTTCGGTAATATCCAAGTCCCGTTTGTTGGTAACAATGTCTGTCAAGGAATCCCACAAAACGCCCGAGGGACCGTATCGTTGGTGGAAACGTTGGACGATTAGGGTCATCGCCGAGAAACACGGCGCCTAACCGCAGCCCCTCATAGCCACCGGTTTGCGCTTGCCGTCCCCGCAGTTTCTCCTGAATTTTTGCTCCTGTCCTGCCTCGTTGCGACAGCTCATAGAGCAGGCTGAAATTCAAAATCACGTAATCTGAGGTCAATAGCTTGCATTAAGTGGATCAGAGGAGCGATGATCAGGCACCCATGTACCCTTATTGATCGTATACCTGCCCTTTCGAGCTCCACAGTTGAGTTCTGCATATGCTGGATGCATTACCAGAGCCCCGGTATACGCTGTCGAAACAATCCCAAGACGGAATGTGATAGTTCCCCGCAACACACGATGACCTTAGGATGACCTGAAGGCTGAGCGCTGATCACTACGGCAGCACGAAAGCGCCGGCAAGAGCCGGTCACCAAACGTACACAAACAGTCCGCTCTGACGGAGAGCGCAGCGCCGTCCTCTCGAGTGGGTGTTCGCGAACTTCGCATACATTGGCATCATGAACTTCCCCTGACTTCTTGCTGTTCTGGATTGCTGCTCGCCGAGTTTAAATTCACAATCCAACTTCGCACTCACCGCACGATTGGCCAGTTTGCTGGGACACAACGTTGATGCTGCACTCCGTCGTTCTCCTTTCGCTCACTGAAATGCCCGAATCGCGAAGGACCAAAAGCCGACTGAGTCCAACCCTATAGATACGGATGCTAACTGTGGCCCCAAAATCCATCAGATCTCCGACGATTCCTTGGGATGTGGATGATCATTGACCGAAAGCTATCAACGTCCCAGCCGGAGCGCACTGTGTTTGTAAGCATATTCTAGCTTGCCAGCCTCACACGAAGTGTATAGCTTAGGTGTCCGTAGCAGTATACAGTATATCGGCGACCGGAGAACTCCTCCGTGGCATGCTCGTTGTCGACCTATCCTGAACCGAGGTCCATGGAAGCTGTAGAGGCTTCGCAGCAAATTTCTCGACTTCAAACTTGCATCCTAATAGAACATCGCTCACCTCGGAGGCTACTTCCGAGGTTCTCTCCATTGCATTGCTGTACAGTACGACGTAAACCAGGTTCGAGAAGTTGCAGAGCTGGTAGCTTGGTCGAGCTTAGGACTGCAGGCACGTGTCCTCATTCTTCTCAGAAGCCCTCTTGGGCGTGAATGCTGAACGCGACTCTGCCCAGGCTCATGTGGACCCGGGGCGCTCCCGCTCCAATAAGCCCGAGCCCGGCACTGCGTCAACTCCTGTCCAATCATGTCCTTCCAGTGATCGTCATTGTCCAGGCCCTCGCCAGACGTTGGGTTGCTGTTGTCCAAGACGAAGTAGCCAGGACGCACCTTATGGCGATGATAAACCTATGTTTATGATCGCCTCACGCCGGCGTTCAAACGCATAAATACCAGAGTCGCGCCCCAGCATTCTCCCATTTGCACTCGACTTACGATGAGCCAGCCCATACCCAAGTCTGTCTCCTCCTCCTCGGCCTTTAGCGCTGATCAGACGAACGGAGCTGCGACCGACCTGCTCTGGCTGGTCATGCGTGAGCCGTGTGTCGCCGCCCCGACGCGCAACATCGCCAAACCTTCAAGCACCATGGCCCTCCCTGCATCATGCGCAGGCTGTTCGGGGGCGCAGTGAATCCCCTTGTAAGCCTCCATCGTGCATGCTTCTGCGTCCTTAATATAAATCTGAACCCTGTTCGATTAGGGCTCGGCGTAGTGCGGCGAAGGGTTGATCCTCGATGTTCAATACCCTATGACAGGATGCTACGCAAATAGAAAATCCCGGAGCGGGACGCGCCCATTTCCGAGTATCCGCGTTCTCGGAGCGGCCACTCTGGTCGCACGTTCTTAAGTTATCCGTGCCTTATCGTGGTTCTGCTATGGCGCCGATAACCTCGTGCTCTCGTCCGCCACCCGTCTCCTCCGTGTATCACATGTCTTTCTCCAATTCGTCGAGAACGCCGCCACTCCGCCTATTCCACTCGTACATCATGACCGCTCGAACATCGCAGTCATCTGCCCATCGATTGGTCGGCTTCCGGGAAACGGGTTGTTGACGCAGGTTGGACCCGCATGGAGTATTCTTTGGCACCCTACAGATCCTTGGAAGGTGTTCAGTCCCAGTATCAGTCGCGTGCTGTGTCGACCGTGAGTTCAGCGGGGGTACTTGTCGAAACCTCCGAGGCCCGATTAACTACTGGGTACGCCATGTGGCCTGGATACAACGACTGAAGTCTGTTTTGGTTCCGGTGCCTGATGGGTGACGGTCCTTATCAGTCCCTGTGACACACGTATGCTTTTGGCCGTTCGACGTTGCAACAGTAAGTATTATGTAAAGTACTGACTTCATGGCAGATTCATCATTTAGATATAGCGGGACCTAGGTAGCGGAACAAACATCGTGGTGGCGCCGTCGCGTTTTGTCTTGCGGTTGGTTCCAAGTTGCATGCACGGTGCACAGGCGTTATGATCTCTCTTGCATCTCACTACTTTCTTCTGCTCGACAACTCTCAGATATAATCTATTTGGTCTAGCTTTGTGCGCTCACCCCGCGATCGAATTAATTCTCGGGCCGTCCGTTGATGCTGCGCACTCTAGCTTCGTCGCCGCTTTTCTCACTGGGATGCAACCGGATCCTTCCTTGTCGCAGCACGTCAAGAGAAGCTTCTCCAGGGACTCATGTCAGAAATCGTTCGCATGACGACGCAGAAGGAGCCTCTGCAAGTCTGGATTCCGCTGTATCCGTTCTCGCACGCGCGAGTATTCGGCGATGCCCAGGAGACCGCTGCCGCTGCCATATCTCTCGCTGACCGGTAGCTATCATCGTCTGGGCGAGTGGAATCTCCAAGTTTTGTGTCGTCGTGTGTGGAAACTGTCTAAAAGCATCTCCTGACTCGTTTCCGAGATGTACGTAGGTTACGTCTGCATGGCGATAGAGCAGCGAGTTGATGATTGAGGACTGCCTGGGAAACGCTCTCAAGCTGTTGTTCCTCGAGGTCCATGAGGCTGTGGAGACCTTGCGGAAAGTTATCGACTTCCAAATAACCTCAAACAACAAGTTACCTGTACCGCGCCCATTTCAAGGCTCTAATCCCGGAGTCCTCTCCTATGCATGGCAGTATGGTCCTATCAAGATGTGCTCACGAGCAGATGAGCAGTTGAATTCCTTCGTCAAAAGAAGGATCTCCGACACCCGTTCTTGTTCAGTCCTGGAAGCTGCTTTATGAGTTCGAGGACCACCTGACGCAAATCTTCATCTGCATAAATACAAGTTGTCCACCACCTGAACGGGCAGATTCTTTCATTGACATTTGACTCGCGATGAACCAGCCCAAACCCGAATCTCTTTCATCCTCCCCGACCTCTGGTCGGGATGCGACGAACAAAGCTGTGCCGAACCCACTCTGGCTGGCCAAGCGCAAGCCGACCGTCGCCGTCCCGATCCACAACATCGCTCAGCCTTCGAGCGCTACGGCTACCCCTGCGTCGTGCGGTGGTTCAAAGGCGAGATGAATTTCCTGGTATGTCTTCATCGCGCGCGTGTCTGTGGACTCCGCAGGGATCTGAAATACGTCTGATCAGGGGCTCCACGGAGCATCGAGTAAGGTTTCCCGCCGAGCTTCGTACCCTACATCATGCTGCGCAAATAGAAACGGGGCATCGAGCATTGCCGAGGAGGGAAGGCGCCCATCTCGGCGTCTCCGCTCTCTTGGCCAGTAACGTGGCTTTCACGTCGCTACTCTCATTCATTCTACACTTTCCCCACTCCTTATCGTGGTTCTGCAATGGTGTATCGTGCTGTCGCGTCCGCTATCCATCTCCTCCGGGCATCGCACGTATCTTTCCAATCCATCGAGAACCCCGCTGCTCCGCGCATATTCCGAAGTCCTTGATTGTCGTGTAGCCCATATATGCCCGATGATTGCAGCCATCTGTCCACCGATCGCTCAGCTATTGAGAGCGTCGAGAGCGCCCCGAGCACAACCGCTACAATTCTTACAAGTAGTATGCCAGGCTGCGCGGCGACGGGCACCAAAATCCAGTCTCCATGTGCATGAGCGTCAACATATGTGATCTATCAACTGAGCACGTTGATGAGTGTGAGAGTCCCGCGATGCTGCCGCGTCGTGGATAAGAGTTCGGTCCAACGATGACGATTGCCAGGTCCGCCCGAAGATGACGGACGCCGAACTCCGTGATCCGAGCCCACGTTGTTGCGGCGGTGCTTCGGTACCTTTCACCCACGTGTTTTGCTCACCAAGCATCCGCTTCGCTTCTACCCTTGACCACCACCATACCAAGGATGATTGCCGTTCAGGCAGCTGGTTCTGTACCAAACCCCATAGGGGCTCCTTCGAACGCCCCCGAGCATTGCCCTGTGAGTTATGCAGCAATTATCATGTTGCTGGAGGTTCGCTCACAAATCGTCGCAGGGTGTTGAGTCAGACCTCGCCGGAAAGGCCGATGCATGTGCGGGATGCGCGAACCAAGAGATATGCGCGTCGAACACCCCAAAGGGTCCCGATCCGGCGTTGCCATTGATCCGGGAGAGGATGGCGGGAGTAAAGCGCAAGATCCTAATCTTGTCAGGGAAAGGCGGTGTGGGCAAGTCCACGTTCACCGCGCAGCTCGGATGGGCGTTCGCCGCAGATGAAAACACGCAAGTAAGCCATGGCGCGCGTTATCTGCACATGTCGTCCATTGATGAATCAATTGCGCAGGCCGGCATCATGGACGTCGATATTTGTGGCCCCTCCATTCCGACGCTGTTCGGTATTGCCTCCGAACAAGTTCACTCCTCCGCCGCCGGTTGGTCACCTATCTATGTCCAGGATAACCTTTGCGCCATCTCCGTCGGCAACCTTCTCCCTTCATCCTCCTCCGCCGTCATGTGGCGCGGCCCGAAGAAGAACGGATTGATATCACAGTTCTTGAAGGACGTTGATTGGGGCGATCTCGATTACCTCCTCGTCGACACGCCTCCCGGCACATCGGATGAGCACCTGAGCGTCGTGCAGTTTCTGAAGGAGTCGGGTATCGACGGCGCGGTCGTGATCACGACGCCGCAGGAGGTAGCTATTCAGGACGTGAGGAGAGAAATCGATTTTTGCCGGAAGGTTGGAGTTAGGGTGTTGGGGATCGTTGAGAACATGGCGGGGTTTGTATGCCCGTCGTGTAAGGGCGAATCTCAGATCTTCAAGCCATCGACCGGTGGCGCGAAAAAGCTCGCGGAGGAGACTGGTTTGGAATTGTTGGGGAGTGTCCCTCTTGATCCGAGGATCGGCAAGAGTGCGGACTATGGCGTCAGCTTTCTGGACGAATATCCCGAGAGCCCCGCGTCCGTGGCGTATCTCAACATCATCAGCCGTGAGCACACATATACCCCGCGTCGTGTCAGGGTGCTGAGATTGATTTTTCAGGTATCAAACAAATACTGGGCGATGACGAGGCTTAAGCCTTATCATCTGCATCACTCATCCGTTATCTGGAGCAATCTTTCAATGTATCGCTATTGACTTCGCCTTGTATTAGAATTGTACTATCATACGGAATGGAAACGTGAAGATCGTATATCATCACTTATAGCGATAATACAAATCCGCATGCGATCCCGGTGTTTAACCTTGACGAGCTCTTAAAATGTTATTTTTGAGGCCAGAACATCATTGCATTCAGATGGATATAAACAGAAGATCACAAACCCTCAAAGAACGACAGATCCTGCGCCGATAAACCTCCTCCACCTTTATCAGAGGTCGCAGGGGTCCCGTTCGCTTTCGCAGGAAGCACGAGCGACGGAGCGCCCAAAGACGGCCCGGACGGCGACGTAAACAATCCAAAGGCGGCGGTCCCCGGACCCGAAGGTGGAGAAGCAGCCATGCTCAGCGCGGCGCTCCCTAACGGCGGCGACTTGAACCCCGGCGGTGGGCCCAACGCCGGAAAACCGGCAGCCATGGGCGGTGACGTCGCTCGAGGTGTTTTGCCGGCATCGACGCCATCTGATCCGTTCGCGGTCCCGTCCCCGAGCAGATCGCCCTCGTCTTGTTGGGCTTGGGCCGCAGCCGGATTGAATCCTGGCGGTGGCGCGAGCACGCCCGGGAGCGGCGATGGTGGCGCCGGCCACCGCTGCCCGGTCTTTGCGCGCGAATCTTGTAGAAGGTTGAGCATCGGGACGTGATCCGCTTTGCGTGCGAGCGCCGGGGTAACCATCTTCGGGATGGGCTGAACCTGCTGGTGCTGGCGCTGGTGCTGCTCCGGAGCGGAAGGCAGTGGAGCGGTAGGATCCGCCCACGCGTCTTCAAAGAAGTCGACCGTTCCGCCTACTCCCGCGGGCATTGATTGGGACCCGCTCATACCACCGGGCCCCGAGCCGGTCCCGAGGCCGTTCAATCCGCTCGCCGCGCTCTGCGAGAGCGCGAGAAGCGATCCGGATGCGCCCGGAGGCGGCGGGAGCGCGGGGGCCGTGGGGCTTGTGGGGGTCGCGGGGGTGTCGGGCAGGCGTGGCCAGCGCCCCGCGTGGGCGGCAGCGGTCTCGACGAGGCTTGCCGCGCGCGCGTGGTTGACGGCGCGCGACGGGCGACGGGCGTGCGGCGAGAGCGCGGGCGGCGCGCGGCCATGCGGCGAGTTGGATATAGGGCGCAAGGGCGGAGAGTGCGAGGGCGGGGTGAGAGGTGGAGGAGGGCTGTCCTTCGGAGGGACGCCGCGTGTGCTGCCTAGAGGACCGGACGAGGGGAGGTCGAAGAGGTCGAAGGCCGAGGTGACGGAAGAGGCGTTTTGGGAAGGCAGTGGTGTGACGTTGGAGGCTGAAACGAGAGGCTCATCGTCGAGCAGGTTCATAACTGATATGCGCTGGCTATGCAACCTTGCTGAACTACCAGGCGGAGGTGGCAGAATACCGGGCGTAGATGATCTACCGGGCGGCGGTGGGAGGATCCCTGGCGTTGATGACCTACTCGCGTTCCCGGGCGGAGGAGACAATATTCTGGGTATCGAAGAATTGCTTGAATTCGCGAGCGGAGGCGACAAGATAGTTGTTGTCCGCGCAGCAGCTGGCTCCACCTTTCGAGAGATCCTCGACGGTGCGCTTCCCGCCGGCATTGATGGTCTCCCCCAGGGTGGTGGCGACGGAGAGGCGGACGCTCGAGCTTGCGTCTCGGACTGTCGGCGGATGTGCATCTCGCGCTCCGAGTTGACGATCTCCGAGGGGAGCGCGACGACCGTCGCCCTCCTCCCACCGGGGCCAGCCCTTTCGCCGTTCAGACTACCATGGCTTTGCCACGAGCTGGGCGGGGGCACGGTCGGAGTCGCGTCTGCCGTGGTCGGCGTGCGCGCACCGGGCGAGCTTACGAAGTCGTCGAAGTCATCAAATCCGTCCAGGTCTGCGCTAGCCACGGGAGGCCGGGCGGCATGGGGTGCGGGCCCGATACCAGGGTGCGATCCGGCGCCTGGGACGAGCGCGGATGTCGACGACGAGTCGGCAAACGACCCAGAGGAGTATGACGACGAGGGGAGGGTGGGGAGCGGGTGCAGGGACGAAGAGGAAGACGAGGAAGGCGCCGGGGCCGAGGCGAAGTCGGCGAAGTCATCGAAAGCGGATGAGGAGAAGGAGGGGAAGGAGGCGGTGGAAGTGGCTACGGGAGGATTTTGGCCAGAGGAATGGGACGGTGGAGGGGGCGGGGAGTGGAAGTCGGTGAAATCGTCGAAGTCGTCAAAGAGGCTTGCGGTGCCGGGTGTTGGCGTGGCGGAGGAGCCGGAAGCTGGAGGTGACATAAAGGAGGTCGGGAGAGCGTTCGGTGGAGGTGCTAGTATGGGCGTCTGAGCTCTTGAGGAAGAGGAGGCGGTGGCTGATAGCGGAGAGACCACTGGCGTCTGCGGTCGGGACGACACCGCTGGCGTGGGGGCTAGAGGCGGTGGAAGCATAGGGACCTGCGGCTTCCCGGGCTTAGCAACGCCTAGGCCCGATCCAGGCGGAGGCGCTAACGGCTTGGGCAGTGGGACGGGCTTGCTCTCAATCATCCCGGTTAGCGCTCTGAGTGCCAATGGTTCGTCGTCGTCACCGTCCTTATCCGACCAGGACGGGACGATGTCTTGCAAAACGTCGAGATCGTCGGCTGATAGCGCGATGGAGTTGCGCGGCGAGGACGAGGACGAGGAGGCGGACGAGCGGGAAAAGCGGCCCAGGAAGCGGGAGACGGCGGACGGCGCTGCTGCGGGCGCGGGTCCGGATGGCGAAGCGGAAGAAGCTTCGGCGGGAGGATCGGTGAAGAAGTCGGGCGCGCGAGGTTTTTCTTCGAGTGGCGGGGCGGAGGAAAGAGGGGGTGAGGCGACGTTTGTGAGCGGGGAGGAGACTGCGACTGGCGTCGACGAGCGTCCAGGGATGGACATAGGTATGTCGATACTCGAGCCAGGACGCGAGCCCGCGATGCTGGGTCGCGGGGAGGCGGTCGGCGAATTCGCTTTGGACGCGATGCTGCCTTTCTCCGACTCTGATCGCGTAGGCGATGGCGGCGCCTTCGCCTCACCCTCCACCGTTGACGCCGTCTTCCTCCGGCCCCAAAAGGAGAGCAGCCCGCCGCGCCGCTTCTCACCCTCCTCCTTCTTCTCACCCTCCTTCTCCTCCTTCTTCTCCACTATGCGCCACCCCGTCGGCACGTCTGCATCTGCATCCTCCTTGCCCTTCCCGGACGAGCGCAATGCGACCTCCCACGCGGGATTGGCGTGTGCGAGATGAGAAAGCGGGGAGCGGCGGGCCAGTGGAGAATACCGCGTCGCTTTGAGGGCGTTCAGCTGAGCGCGGAAGGTAGCCGTTTGGCCTATCTTGAGAGGAGGTGCGAGCGGGGCGAGTGGAGTGGGGAGGATGACGGAGATTAGGTGGTCGCTAGAGAGGAGTTGAGTGAGTATATGCGTAGGGGGGAGCGATAGGACATACAATTGTGGTATGGAGCTGAAATCAGCCGAAATTGAGCCTGCATCTGAGTCGTCGGCTGTAACGTATTCACCCGGCCAGAGCTTCTCGCACAGTTCGGTACACTGATCGAGTATGGCTTGGAGAAGATCGGGTGGCTATATGCGCATTTCATGGTGCCCGCATGAGCGAGGTAAATGAAGATCAAAGCAGCACGCACGATGCGTCGGTCGCGCTTTTCCTTCTCCATGCGCGCGCGCTCCCATTCGTCCAGAGGCGCTTCCCCCGAATGAGAGGACGAAACGTGCTCGCCGGCGGGCGCGGCCGTGTCCCAAGAGGCCCCCCACGCGTCGGGTCCTGCATCTGCGTCGGGATCAGGGACGTGCGGGGTGCCAGCGACCCAAGCGTCGTGTTCCGCGTCCTCCTCTCCATCGTCTTTAGCCTCTTGCTCGTCGGTGCGTTCGTCCGTAGCGAACGGGCTCGTAGGCAAAGCAGTGGATAATGCAGACGAGTCGGGAGTAGGTGACCATGCGTCCGGAACGGCAGCCATTTCGGGTACGGCGGACGAGACCCAGGCATCTTCTAGAGTGGATGTAACAGCAGCTACTGGTGGTGGACTCCATGCATCTTCTACAACGCTTGGTGTTGGCGGATCAGAACTGGCATGGGTGTCCTCCATATCTTCAAGTACATCGTCTTCAACACCGTCCTCCTCATTTTCTGAACCCTTCCCGAGGGTGATCCCCGCAAACCCTCCCGCGGTCCAACTTGGAGTCGAAGCAGCTGCGGTACGTTCCGGCCCGCTCCATATCGACCCCTGCAGCTCGGTGCTTGCATCCCAAGCAACGGCCGCCGTCGGGCTCCATGCCGGCATAGAGAGGTCGGCCTCAGAGTCATCGTGCAGCGCGCGGTGCGGCGAGGACCAGTCCGGCGTCGCCGACGAAGTGCCAGTAGCCCGCGGTACCGGGGGCGGGTCGGACGACGACGGCGCGGCCCATGCGTTTCCCCAGACGTTGTCGTCCATCGTGTAACATTCCTCGAGTCGATCAGCGTCGAGCGATCAGCGAACGAACGAACCCGACGACGGCGATGATGCCCGCCTGCAAGCGCCTCTGAGCGTAGCCAGAGATCACGTGAAGTCGGTAAGACCCACCATAGCTTCCGTCCGTCCGTCGTCGACGACCTCCACGATGGACGCGCACGACCCCGCCGCCGCCGCCGCCGACTCCGCCATCGCCGCCGGCAGTCTGCTCGACTGGGACGAGGGCGCAGTTGCCGCCTTCTTCAGCACCACGCTACATCTCCCGCAGTATGCGCCGCACGTCCGCGAGCAGCGCATCTCTGGCGAGGTCCTCGCGCTCCTCGACCCGGACAGCCTGCGCGAGCTCGGCGTTGCGACGATCGGACAGCGCTTGCAGATACTCAAGGCCGTATATAACCTCAAGGTTGCGCAAGGGATCCCCATCGAGCCCGACCACTACGTTCCGCCATGTGCGTTCGTCTAACTGTGGCGGCACCTGTCGTGACGCGAGGTTGAGCGGGATGTGAAGGCTGATGCGACAATCTGTTGGTGCTTTGATAGCCGAGGTGCAAGAACAGCAAGATCGACAGCAGAATTTGACCCCAGTCAAGCTGCACGACATGCTCAAAGAACAAGGTTCGTGTCTCTGTCTCCGTCCCCCATTGTTCCGCTTCCGATCATCCTGCTCACCTGACTTCTACGATCACCGATCTTTCAGACGACCGCCTCAAAGCACTCGAAGAAGAAAACAAGCGCCTCATCGAGACGCTCCACTCGTGCTTGGAAGATATCGCCGCGCTCCGGACCCGCGCGGGAGGCGAAGACTCCCCCATCCCCAAGGAAGGCGCTTCAACATCCTTCCGCTGGGCTAACTTCATCAAGCCTTCCAAGTCGCCTACCAAAGCCGCCCACGTCATTGACTCTCCTCAAGGATCGCCCCTTCGCGCAGAGCACGACATCTCCGCCTCCATGTCTGCGTCGGCACCCGCGCCAGTCTCACGCTCGACGGCTGGGCTCTCCGGCGCCACGCTCCTCAATGAACCCTCCTCGCTCTCCACCTCCCTATCCGGCCCCTCCTCCCTTCAGACCCACCCTCCGAAACCTCAGCCAACGCGCCAAGAATCATCCGACAACCTCAAGAGCTTCAAGGTCTCGCTCGAAGACCCGGCATGGAAAGTCCTCCCTGCCGCGCTCAAGAAGTACAAAATCAACAACGATGATTGGCAAAACTACGCCATGTTCATCTGCTACGGGGCTGACGGTGTGTTTACCCCCGTAACTCCGTCTACCCTGTACCATTGACTCATGTGCTTCGCCCCATGCTAGGCAATCGCATCGAACGTTGTCTTTCCTACGACGAAAAGCCGTTGCTGCTCTTCCAGAAGCTCAAGGATGCGAAGAAGAACCCGGTCTTCATGCTCAAGCATATCAAGGACATCCGCTCGCCCATCGCCGTCGCCGAGCAAAAGCAACGCGCGCGAAAGGCCTCCTCGATTGCGCACACTCCACACTCTGCCCCGAAGACCGCGCAGCTGTCCGCGTCAACACCAACGACCGGCGGGGCAGGACGCACCGGCGTACGTCCGCCGCGAATCGACGTGCACGGAAGCGCCGCAAACGTCGCGCCTGGACCCGTCACGGGCACGGCGCCGCAGGGACCAGGCGCCGGTGGTTGGCTAGAGGCGATGTCACCCGCGGTCGAGAACGCGCCGAAACGACTCGGCGACGGCAGCGACTCCGCACCTGCGGCGACGCCTCCCACGGGCACCACAGGCGCGGGCACGCCCGGCCCAGGATCCGTGCCGCACTCGGGCCCGAGCCCAAACTCTGGGCCGAGCGGGGGCGGCGGCAGCGCGCGCGAGCTCCCGCCGCCGTCTGCGTCGGGAATCTCGTACGCGGTCGCGATCTACCCGTATATGGCCGAGCAGGACGACGAGTTCGACGTGGTCGTCGGCGACACGTTCGTCGTCCTCTCCCGCGCGCGGGGCTGGTGGGTCGTCCAGCGCGACCCGGCCGGGGCGGGCGTCGTTGAGCCCGACACGGCGCTCCAGGGCTGGGTGCCGGCCGGATGCTTGCTTGAGACGCGCGTACCGGTTGCGAGCGCGATTGCCGAGGCGCGTGCGGGGATGAATCTTCCTGCAGAGGGCGAGGACGGAGAGGTGGCGGAGGAAGGGGAGGGAGAGGGCAGGAGGGAAGAGCGCAAGACGCCGATATTGCCGCTCGCGATCGTCTCGACGAGTTTCCCGGGCGTGGCGTTGACGGATTATACGGCGAAGGGCGAGGAGGAGCTCGATCTCGTGAAGGACGACTCGCTGAGGGTGTTCAAGCGATACAACCACTGGAGCTACGCCGTCAAGGAGGAGAACGGAGAGCGTGGATGGGTGCCGGTAAGACATGACTGCTCATTGCTTATTGTTCTTCTTTGGTCGAGCTGACTCTGTCTTATTGTGTTTCCGTGGCAACAGTCGTGGTACATCGGCAAGGTGTCGAGCAATGTGCCGCAGACGCCGGTCCCGGGATCGCTTGCGAACGTATCGGCGACGAGCGTGACGCTCGACGGCGACTCGTCGACGATGGCCCCCCAGCCGAGCCCGATGTCATCTGCGTTCCCGGCAACCCAGAAGTCGACGACAGTCGTATAGACTTCTCGTAGATCCACCTTCGCGCTCGCTACGGCCTTCGTTCTGTGTGGTGGGCGCTCTGTTTGTTTTCGCTCTGTTCTCGTAGACGCCTCTGGCCGTTATGAGCCCGATCCGATACACCTCCCTCGTTCTTGTGTTACCCGTGTTCTCTTGCTCCGCCGCCCTGGCGATGGTCCTCAATACCCCCATGGTGGTGTGCCCCTACCGTTGGCTTCGTTCAACGTCGAGCTCGATCGCCTTCCACATTATGACATATCATGAATGTACATTTACACAAGATCTTTTGCCGGAACAAATGCGGTCGATAGCTATCTACAGGTGATGGGACAATGCGTTGAGAGCGGTCGAAGCGGAGCCGATGCCGAAACTTGTGACGTCGATACATCAAACTTTGCATACTACATTAGTTCCACATATACAGGCAGGAGAACATGGCGATGGGAATAATTACAACCAAACCAAAGGGGTGAGGCCAGTGGGGGGCGCAATCAGTGCGCAACCTCCACGCGTTTGGTCTTCGACGTCGACGGCGCAAAGTGGGACTTGAAATACGATACCACCGGGCTGAGCAGCTTGCCCAGTCCGTGCTTCGCGTGCTCGTGCTCTTCCGCACGGTGCAGCTTGTCGGAATGGTGGTGGTGGTGGTGGTGCTCACCGCGAGCCCCACCACTTGGTTCTGCTGCTGCTGCTGCCGCCGTCGGACTCGGCGTACTGGTCGCGGTACCAGCGGCGATGTTCTGCGCGGGCGGGTACATCGTCAGCGGATCACCAGTCGACATGCGCCGTGTCGTACCGTGCGGGTCGGGATGTGGTTGAGGTTGGGCGTACCCAGGCGCGGGGGCGGGAGGGGGCGCCTGCATGTACGGCTGCTGGTACGGCACCTGGTAACTGTGCGCCGGGGTGTAAGGTTGTTGAGGTGGCGGAGGCGGCGGAGCGTACGGGGTGCTGGTGGGCGGCGGCGGAGGATATGCTTGTTCTGGGGGAGCGTAGGGCGTGCCCCGGGAGCTGTGCCGGCGATGGGGGTCACGCTCGCGGGAGTGGCGGCTCGGCGGGGCGGGTGGCGGAGAGGGAGCCTGGATTGCAGGAGGTACCTGCTGCTGTGGCAGCGGAGGAGGCGCTATGCCGCGCTCGGGACGCGATGGGGATGGAAGCGCTCCGGTTGAGGGCTGCTCGACACCGTTGAGCGTATACTTCTTCCGCCCGTCGGGGTACGTTAGCGTAACGTGCTCGTTACCCTGCACAATGTATGCGTCAACCACTGATCGGAGGAAGCTGGCGAGTGACACTCACCTCTGCATCTACGCGTTTGTGGATAGTCTCCGTAACGCCGTTCACCGTGCGCGTCATAATCGACTCCGAGACGCCGCCGCCAGACCTGCCCATGATGGTTCGCGAGGACGAATGGAACGAGCGACCGCCGCCGCCGCCGGGCCCAGTGAGCATTTGCATCTCCGGGAACATCGATCCGCCCAATAGCATCTCCGGGAACATCGACCCGCCTCCGCCGAACCCGCCAAACGGCGAGCGCCCGAACGGACTGGGGCGCGCTGGCCCGCCAAAGAGGTCGGAGAAGAGCGGAGAGCGCGAGAGGAATGGGTCGTCGCGGATCGCGGAGGAGAAGAAGGGGTCGTTTCGGAAGATGTCGCGGAAGAGCTCGAAGGGATCCGTGAACTCGAAGGGCGAACGGCGGTGCCTGCCACCTCCGAAGCCGAATGAGCCGAATCCGTCGTCGTTGAAGAAGGGATTGTTGAAATGCCGCTCAAAGCTGTCGAAGGTCTCGCGGCGGTGCGGACGCCCGTCGTAGGGTTCGTAGCGATGGCTGCGGTAAGATGGTTCCTCCTGCACCTGTGGAGGCGGCCAGACGCCATGACGATCATAAAGCTGAGCATGAAGCAGTCAGAGACGGTGTCTTCATGCACATATGCAGCACTTACCTTGCGATTTTCCTCATTACTCAATACTTCATACGCATTATTAACCTACGCATTGGATGAATACGATGTCTCATGCGTGAGCACACCCGGGTGATAGACTTACCAATCGAAACTGCTCTTCAGCGGAAGCTTTGTCCGACGCGGTCGCATCTGGACCCAAGCGATCGGGATGTGTTTGCAAGGCCTTCTTGCGATACGCCTTCCGAACTAAAGCAGAGGTCAGTAACGTGGTGCATGAGCGCAAAGCAGCAACGACGTACTTTGCTCGGGCGTTGCGTCCCTCGATGAGAGCCCCAAGACCGCGTACAAGTCGGTCGACATCTCGTGGTGGTCGTGGTCGATGGTCAAGCTGATTTACTAAAGCCATGTCGTCAAGCGCCGCTATGCACCGCTGTCGCGCGCCCAGACAAGCCGCTTTCTCGAAATTTCGCCAAGTCCACGCACGGGTCACGGGACCTCACTCGCGCTTGGTCTCCTTCCGTCATGGTCGGTGGTTTAGTCCGTGCTTGCGCGCTATCAAGGGATTCATGAACGGCGACAGGCTGCTCAACAATCGCAAGGCATTCAGACGCTGCTTGAGGCAGAGAAAGAGGCTGCAAAGATCATCGCGCAAGCTCGCCAGTGTGCGTCCTGATGAATGCGCAGCGCTACGCAGGTATTCACCGCCAGAATGTACCCCCAGATCGGGTCCAGAAGCTGAAAGATGCGCGCTCGGAGGCGCTGAAAGAGATTGAGGAGTATAAGAAGGCTAAGGAGCAGGAGTTCAAGGCTTTCGAATCTTCGGTACGCTATGCATTTCCGTCTGCTTATACGACTCACCAACGCATCGCGTCAAGCACGCCGGCGTGAACCAAGAAGCGCAAGCCGCTGTGGACAAGGAAACCGAAGCCAAGCTCCAGTCCATCACCAGCTCTTATGAGGCCCAGAAAGACGCGGTAGTAAAGAAGCTGTTGGACCGCGTCGTCCTAGTCAAGCCTGAACTTCACCGTAACCTCAAGAAAGCCGGTCAATAGAGGACACTGCGTCAAATACATGTATGAATTTTGCAAGAATGACAGGTGAAGGGTATGTGAAATAATGCAGAGTAATATGTCCTGTCCGTTATGTTCGTTGCGAAATCGCTGCCAGTAACAGTCTGGTATGATTTACTTTTGTTCAGGCTCGTGGCGCTCATCACCAAGCCAAGACAACCCCATTGGAAAACCTGGTTTACCATATAAATGTTAGTTCCCCGGATTAGTTTGCGATAACACTGTTCAACCCGAGGTCCGCAAACTGCTCACCCTGGGTACTCGCACCTGGCTGTCGAGGATTTTGGGGTTGCGAACCCGGGGGCTCCTGCCTTTGACTGGGCCTTGGGCTTACGGTGAGAAGACCGCTATCTCTAAGCGATGGCAACGACGGCCGCGTCACATTGATAGGTTCAATCGGGACAGCTCCACGCCTCGAATGGAGCTGCTGCTCCATCGCGCTCATGCCTCCTCGTACGCGCCCTACGTCCGCATCTCTGCTCGACGAGGGCCCAGCAATCGGCGGCATTGAAGTACCCCGATGCGGACGTGGCGCAAGAGTTGATTCCCGGCGGCCCTGTCCGCCACCGTATTGAGCAGCCGCCGGGTTGATGAGGGACGGATCCAAATGCGGCGCTGGATGGGGCTGGGGTAGCTCGGTCTGCCCTGCGCGGCCAGACTCGTCTAGCTGAGACTGCCGATGCATGGACGCGGCCAGCGCGTCGATTTTGAGCTCCCAAAGCTCCTGGAAGTGCGCCGACCATTGGGCCAATATGGGATGGTTCTCGCCGTAATATTGACTCAGCGACTGCGGGAATGGCAAATCGAGTCAGCGATTCATTCGGAGGATGACGAGGGAGGAACGCTCACCCATAACGCGAAAGCCACTGACGCGGGGATGGGATCGGGCGTGAGCGCCGACTGGTAAGTGGAGAAAGGGGGGCGCGGACTCACGTAAGACGCTGTTTCGCGCGCGCTGGCCGACTGCGTTGATTATGGTGAAGATTTGGTCGACGGCCCATTGGGTGATTGGGACTGGCGTGTGCCTGCGGAAAGCCTGTCGGGTTTGTTTGTGGTCTGCATTGCTTCGCGCGACGATCTGGGAACGTGACATACGATGTCCAGGCTGATCACGCAGGATGCGTGCATGACATGCATGAGACAGTAACACCAGGCGCCGCCGTTGGAGCCCGTCTCGAACATCGCCATTTGCATCTGTAGATTCTCGTTGGAGTAGACGAGGTTGAGTGGGACCGAAGCAGCCCATGCCTATCACAATCGGACTATCAGCAAGTCGTGCGCGGCGAGGATGAACGTGTATGTACTTCAACCGCCTGCCGTCCCATTGCTAACGCCCCCTGCGTAGTCCGAGGATCCCTCGCGCCTATCGCATGACGGTATAGGCATCTAGATCGGCGTTATTGAAGTATCGGCTCACCGCTGAGTTCCCGGAGGTCATGCTCCAGTCTCCACTTGATATGGACGATGCGAAGCAAATGCCCAAATTCAGAACATTGTTGTTGATTCGGTGTGGGCAATGTATCGAGGTATTCTTCCGCGCATCAATGCCGGCATCACTTGAAATAGGCTCATAAAAGCTTACCTGGTAATGCAGTGCTCGCGAAATCAAACGAGGTCTCGTCAACCGGTAACGGGATGTGCGTGCGCCTGCTGAAATCCGGAGTCGGCGCCTTGATGTAGATGAACGCCAGGAGGTCCAGTAAATATATGAGCCAGAAGGTGCGGCGGCCCAATTCGATCTCTAGAGGATCGCCGTTAGACTGATTATCGGGTCGCTCTTCGAGAAAACCCAACGAGTCAAGGATGTGCATTGCCAGCGCTGTTGATGATCGTAAGAAAACGGCTTGCGTTCGGATCTATTGCTGAGCAAGTTACTGTGATATTTGCGTCCGGCGAGGAAGTCAGGGTGCGAGACATAGGTGTGCATCTCCAGAAGGCAGAGCGCCTGGGCTGTAGCCAGATTGCTTTCGACGATGAGTCGACCCTCGTCGTCGAACATCATCGTCTTCGCATCCCGTGCAAATTGGCGGCCCGCGCACCGCGGAGGGTTCGTCCGCACCGCGGGGTGCTTGGAGTGGATAGATGCCAGCGCCAGGATGGCCAGCAGTAGATAGTGTGGCACACTGCCGCGCCGCAAAGACTCATCGAACGACGGTCGATGAATGATGAGGCATTGCGGATGACTATGAGCGAAGAACACTGTTCACCGCCGTTTGCATCAGCCCACTCATCCTTGCGCCACGCCAGAAGAGGACTCACAGTTGATGAGCTCTCGAGCGAGAGACGGATGAATGCCCGAGGAGTGGTTGTGCGGCCCGGCGACTTGCTTGTCGCTCCCGTGATAAGGCTTGCGCCCCGCATGCTCCGTACCTGGGGGCGAAGTATCAGTCGGGCGTGAGGTGCCCCTTTGCTTTTTAGCAGACCCTGGACCAGGCCCCGGGATGCCCATGGGCGAGGCGGATGAGGCAGGAGTCGCGGTTATCGGCGACGTGCTGGCACCGGATGGCCCAGGCACGGCCTCGCGCCCTAGAGGCCGGCCAAAGGGCGCTGAAACGGGCGCGCCCGACGCGTCCGTATATACGCACTCCTTGGAAGCAAAATAGCTGTCGTATCGATCGTGTTAGAAGACGATTCGCAGGCGATTCGTCGGCACTATCGCACCAGTTTCCGCAAGGTTCTAAATAACTATCATATGAAGACCGGCCTAGGCATTAGCGATCACAGATCAGGGCGCACCATATCCGTCGCAGCGTCTTTTGCTCTTGTGACAAGCGTTGCAGGCCTAGGTGCCGGGCCATGGTGTGAGTGTGTTTGCGAGCTCCCGGTAGCCGCCTACCTTCGCAAGCCGTTTTCGCTTGGGAACCCGGAAGGAGGCATCGCTCGTATTGATACCGAGGTCAAGCGACACTGCTGACCGACTCGACCATGCCGGAGCGGTCTCGGGCTGGCGCACGACGTCGCGGACAGCCGCTGGAGAGCTGCGCGAAGTGCGAGCGGCCTCTGTAGGCGGGTCTCGAGGGGGATCCATGTCGGCCAGTAGTGGCGCACAGCCCGAGGTTCTTGTACGCGGGCGAAGGCGAAGGAAAATTAGGTGCCAGCAAATCTCCCACCCCACCGTGTTCACCTCGTCCTGGATATCTCTGCCAGATTGGATATCGCCGGCGGTCCGCAAGGCGTTCCAGCCGCCGGGACGCGCACTCCGGGTATCTCTCTCGAATCACTGTGCCCGCATTCGAAGCGAAGCCAATCGGGCGATTCAGGTGCTCACTCGTTCGCAATCTGTCGAATTGTACGGAGGCGCTCGTATCTCCGCGCAGAGTGTCGTTGAGTTACGCTCCCGGCAAGGAGCCTAGTCAAGCCACTGCCGAGTTGTAAATACCTTATATGGTAATTCCCCTTCTCCAATTACATATTTCGCCAGGCGTACGAGCGACTACTACTCCATCGTTCTGGCCACGAAGCCTTCAGTTGGCACCATGCTATGCACATAGTACCACCGCGGCGCCGGCGGTCGGAGATCGGCCAGGGTATTAACGCACATTATGACGCCAGAGCGGGCACCACCGGTAATCCAGAGAGTCACCGCGTAGTGCACATCAACGTGAATAATCAAGCGAGCGCAAGCAGGTGCAAGCTTATCGGAGCTAATTGATTCTAGCTGCGGGGGTTGTGGAGCGCACACCTGTCCTCGCAGCGTTCATTCGGATGGCTTCGTGTGGGGATCTCGGGTAGCGAGGGTCGCAAACCTGCAGAATCTTCTCTGCCCATCTTTCCGCCGGCTTGCCGCAGGGGGGCCATCGTTCGCTCGCTCGCCAGGAACTTTTTACCCCCCATTTTGGATCCTGTTCTCAGAGACCAGCGATCTGCGCCGACACATCTCGGTTTACCATTTATAGCCATATTGTCGATGAACCGCCAATCAGTACATACGCGACCGCAGGGCAATGACGCCATAGGTGCAGCGTACATATGGACCCTGGACGGCGCGTGCCAAGGCCATTAGTGAACCGAAAATCGACCAGAAAATCGGTGCTTCGCTCCAAAAAGAATCGTGCATGATCTGCAAGGTGGTGGCGCATCAGCCCCCCCGCCCCCCCCACACGAGGCTCAGCAAGGAGAAGGTTGCGCGTGTGCCGTTGGCTCGCAAAAGGATCAAGGGTACTAGCTAAGATAGAACCGATCGAAGCGCAAGTAATTCTCTGATCCAAAAACGCGCAACAGACATGAACGCGCTCGCACCTTTTCATAGCTCTTTTTACATGCGTGCCGACGTGCCTGTCCTTCCTGTGCTGCGGCTTCTGTAAGAATCCGTCGGCCGACAGACTTGACACGCCGTTCGGAGAGGATGTACCCGGATCCATCTATATTGCACTCACAGCGCCAAGAGACTTTTCGACATACGAGAGGTGAACGAAGTCAAATGACCTGCGCGCACAGCCTGCGTAGGCCCGGATGCATTGCGAGATCTGCCGTCACGATAACTTCGTATCTCGAAAAACAAATGCCCTTGTCTTGCGACACGAGGTCCGTTTCCTGGCGATAACGTGAAGCGAATCGCCTCCTGACAAGAAAGGTCCTGGGGATGGAACCTCGTCCGAATTGGGAAGGTAACAACCTGTAACAACTCGACGACATCGGATATCGGATAAGTACGATAGACACCCCCTGCGTCGTGAACGCCCCGACACGTGGATCGTGTCAAGCAAGCGGAGATGCCTCGTCTCGCGGATATCTGTCGGGGTCGGTGTTTTTAGCATAACGTGCCTACCGACATGGCCGAGCGCAGAGGAGAGGGTATTCTGGAAGGGGTAAAGGGTCATTTTCCCGATTCGTCGATTATGCTTACGCGAATATGCCTCAAGAGTTGCATGAATCGGCAGTTGTTGAAACAAGTTATCCTGCAGTGTTCTCATCCACGAGGCGCATGTCAAATGCTACTCACGCGCGGGTCTCACCGGCCTGGGGATTCTTAGCCGTGTGAGTGAAGGTGGCGCTCAATGGGCGACGATCCGGTAGCTCCAAGCACGCTGCGTAGTCCCTCCGAGGAGTCTTTCATAGCGATGAGAACGTTGGCAAGCAAAGCTACAGGGGTGCAAGCAAGGGGGAACAAGATGACTGGAAAGGCGCGGTTCCGAAAGAAGCGAGCACAAGCAACGCTTCTTCGATGGAGTGGGATTTTGACGTAATGACATCCCACGGTTTCGGAAGGTCCCACCACAATTAGCGCCGGTAAGGTAGCCGATCGTGTACAACCAATCCCTCCTGCTTCTTGACATAATATCCAGAGGGAATTTGATACCTTCGTCGGGGCTGCACCAAAGACCGAGCTTCCTTGTGATAACCTTTGCGGACAGGCCCAAATAAGTCCATGTGGACCTGCCGATGCTCGGTCGTGCGGTGTTACAAATCCGGTCTGGAGCGGGAGGTTACTTCTTCTGCTTGCCCTTCTTCTTTGCGTTGGAGCGGCTCGGTGTCGACGGCGCCAGTTCGATGCTGCCCCCAGCCATTTCTGCTCCAATACCCTCGCTCTCCTCGATCTTCGTCTTCGCGTCCAGGAAGAACATCACGTCCCTTAGTTGATCTTCTAACTCCGTGATCTGTGCCTTCAGCGCCACCTTCTCCTCCTCAGCGTCGCGTAGTTGGTCCTTCAAGCGAGATATATTTCCCATCAATCCGCTCGTGACGGCCTTCTCCTCCTTCAGCTCCCTGTCCAACCTCCTGGCCAGCTCGGATACTTTATCCAACTTCCTCTCCGCACGCTCCTTCTCGCGCTCGATCGCGCCCAACCGCTCCTCCTCTTCCTCCCTCCTCCTTCGCTCCTCATCTGCGAAGTTTGTACGAAGGCGATCGAGGTCGCCTCGCAGCTCCTCCATCGCGCGCCGCATATCCGCCATCTCCCGCACCTGCGCCGACTTCTGGCTCTCGTAATACTCGCGCTGAGAGTCAAGCTGGGACGTGAGCAGGTACGAGTACTCGATCCCGATCGCCTCAATCTTCTCCGCGCTCAGGGCGTCCGCGGGCCCTGGCCCTGCTCCACTGGCCGACCCGTCGCGCATCGCCGCGCCGCTCATGCTCGCGCTGGGCAGTTCGACGAGCTTGCCGTCGGCCTTGTTCTGGATCAGCCGGTGCACGTAGCCGTCCCCGGCGTAGTCCCACACGCGCTGCGTCTCGAGCTCGAGCGCGTATAAGTGCGTCGTCCGCTGGTAGTGTGCCTGGGCGTGTGCGCGGCCGTACCGGCCGCAGCCGATGTTCCCGCAGATCAGGCAAATCCAGAGGTTGGTCGTGGACGCGCAGTCGAAGCAGGTGGAGGTGGAAGTTGATGGAGGCGTGAACGGTGCCGGCCGGCGCGAGGTCGATGATACCGGGTGCGACGAAAGTAGAGTCTGGGAGTATCGACACACCGGGCAACTGGGGTGGTAAGGTGTGTATTAGTTTCATGTTCTCACCAAGACCGGCGCGTAGGACGTACCGGCTGTCTCCCCACTTGCTGAGACAGGAACAATGGAAAGTGTGAGAACATGGTACCGTCACCAGGCCGGTGACGGCAGAGTCCATGCGCTCCAAGCACACAGGACATGTCGGCAGCTCGTACGCGGAACCTTCTGCTAGTCGAGAGATTGCCACAGATGTCGAGTCCTCGGGGTCAATGATGACTGATGACACATGAACGACGTGGCAAATTTCAGGCTATAAAGAAGGTTAATGAGCAAGCGTCACATACGGGTGGCGGTTGGGGGAATCATACCTCCATCGAGTTGAAAGCCTTCCCATTGTACGCTTCCGCGAACTCGGCCGCGTCGGACGCCTTTCGGAACTTGATGACGGTGATAGATCGGTTCGGCGCTGAGTCTCTAGGAGCATCAGTGTAAGGACACCCGTATTATCACAGCGTTCATATCGCACACCTTATCATCCTCAGGTGTGTGATCCCGTCAGCGGCCGGCGCGACGAATGCCAGGAAGTCTGATGGGTTCATCCACGAAGGTACAGCAAGAACGCCAAGCATGACCCCGTCAACGTCAGCATTTCCGATTGCGCTGGATGGTAAGGCGGGAAATTCTTGATCCCGAACGGTGTGTGGAGGAGCAGAATCGCGGTACACGTGTACGACGCCTTCCGGCAGGTAGGTGGTTCCGCACTTCGAACGGGAGCGTTCGATGAAGCTTGCCGTAGCGGTACCTATGTGCGTAGTTCGTCATGAGTAGATGGAGTGCTACGAATAGAAGGGGGACGTCACCTCGTGTAGGCTGTCGTTGCCGCTCTTTCCCGCTCACAGACGTCTTGCGTTGTTGAACGTCTGATGACTGATCGATGTCCATCCAGTCAATACTGATGGGACCTAGCCTGTAGTCCGTACCGCTCTCGAAGGTATCCTCTCGCCCTTGTGAACGAGGTAGCTTGCTGTGTGACGGTAGAGTTTGGAAGATCGATTCGGGTACGATTACGTTGTCCGACTGAGAGTGAGATGCTTGAGACTTATTGAATGCAATCCGGATGTGATATCCGAGCATAATCCAATGAATATTCAGCCGCAATGGCCAGTACGCAGTCCGAGTGACTCGGAGATGGAAGTCGCCGTCAGAGAAGGAGAGGTCCCATAATAGGCGCGCACTGACGTCATCATATCACAAAGCGCCGAAGCGGTCACCCTACACGTGCCGCCGCTAGGGTTTGCTTCTGACCATCTGGACGATCTAACGCATGGCGTAGAAACCTACGCTCGATCCCAACTTGTATCGAACATGTTCACGAGAACATTCGTCAAAGCCGCGAAGAACTCTCTGGCAACACCTGCGACCCACTCGCCGTACATCTCCCTCACGGAGCCACTTACACGTGCATCACTGGCGTCACTGAGGCGGGCGTTGGCCTCCAAATTCTCTGCGCAGGAGTGGGAGGTGAACGCTCACGAGAAACACGCAGCTGTGTGTGTACAGTCTTGGAGTCCATAATCTCCCAGCTGTAACCTGGCTTTCCCAGGTGTTGATTCCGCTATGCAACGTCAACGGCGTTCCGGGAGTGTTGCTCGAAGTTCGGGGCCAGCTAAGGTACAACACCTTCCGTCCGACGTCATTCTGCATCATCACCAAAGACTAACGCAGGCATCACTCGGGCGAAGTGAGGTAAGCATACCGCCACGAGGACGCCCTGCTGCGCCGTGCTGCATGGCTAATAAGCCCCGGTCATCTTGCATAGCTTTCCTGGTGGGAAAGTAGACGACGTATGATGTCTTTCACTTTCAATTTCATTCCGGTATTTTTCCTGACGACAGTCCATAGACGGACGACGGCTTTCTATCAGCCGCTCTTCGTGAGACGCACGAGGAGATTGGGGTTCGGCCGAGCCAGGTAGAGATCCTCGGCCAGATAGGACCGCCCACCACGTCTCTGGGCAAGCTGCGAGTTTGGCCATACGTCGTGAGCTGCGCGCAAAGCCGAAGCTGCTTCTGCAATCTAGCTTCTCATCGTATTTCATCTTCAGGGCTTCATAAACTTTGCGCACTCGCATGAGGCCAGTGCAATGACAAGCGACGATGCGAGGCCGCCGGCATACCAGGACGATACGCCGCTTCCTTCGCTCGTATTGTCTAAACTCGCCGTGTCGCGTGAAGAGGTCGCAGAAATATTTCATGTCCCGTTATCAGTTCTCTGTCATCGCGATCGGTTGAACCCATCACTCTTCCGGTGCGTGTGATGATCATGGCCTCGCTCCTTGCTTACCGGGGGTCTTCTGCGGTGCCTAGGGGCATAACGCCGTACTGGTGTGTAGACGTGACCAACCTGGTGCTTACCCGGAGCGCGTGGAAGAGCGACCCTCTGGAGCGCGACGAGATTGGTTCTGGGCGTGAAGATAGACTTGAGGTGAGCGAGACATGCGCTGCGCTGCCAGCATCCACGAAGTTGACCGTACTTGCTAACCGTTTCGTCCGTTTCGTAGATATGGGGCCTCACAGGATGGTGCGTGTGCAGCGGCGGGCTCCCTTGCGCTTCTTCTTCTTGATGGGCGGGCGATCGCGAGGGCGCGCTTGCCGAGATCAGCCCCCCATTCTCCCAGCCTAATTATGGCCTCCTGTTCCATGAACAGTTCATCCGCATTTAACCCGAGCTTGTCGATTCTTCGGCCCTTTCCTCCTTCCAGGCTGTTGGCTCGCCTGTTCATCTGGGATTCCGCGGAGTTGGGAGGATTTAATCGGCGATGCTTATCCGCAGCGCACTGATCAAAACGCTTCCTACAGGTACATGAATGTGTTTCTCAAAGCCCTTGAAGTGTATAGATAGACCAGCGATGTCTGCTCATAAGGCGACATTACTTCTCAAATATCGGTTCCTCACATATGGAAGACAAGAACGGCCTTTCACACCGGCAGCTCTTAGATCCACAAGTTTCATCTCCACGCTCATACCATCTTACGCGGTATAATTACCCCAACGCTAGGCACAGATATCGGCGTTGCGAGTTGTTGTACATATTAGAACTTGACTATGGATACAAACAAACTGTGCTAAGATACGCAGGCTGCTCGTCAGGTGAAAACAGCTCAAGACGAGGGAGGCGCGACTTGACCGAAGTCGAGCTTTCTGGCGATGATCCGACTCTTGGCCTGGTCTGCGGAGCTCATCTTGCGTTTGAGCTTGTTGGGCGGATTCGCCTTCACGCCGGGCCCAGACCCGGCGGGCTCAACGTTCCCGTCGACCTCCTCCAGCGGCCGCGAGGACTGGGCGGTGCTGATCTTCGGCAGCTTTGAGGGGTGCGTGGGGTACGGCAAGGCGAAGAAGTACGGGTGGCTAAGCGCCTGTCAAAGCGAGGAGCGAATAAGATGATCATTCGTACACCGTGGGATGCCGGCGTTATACTAGGGACGAGCTTACCTGTTTCGCGCTGATACGCTTCCGCGGTTCGTATACCATGCATTTGCCGAGGAGGTTGAGGCAGTCGGCGCTGGCTGCGGTGAAGAGATCGCGCAGGGACGTTTTCGGGAATTGGCCTACTGGCACGTAATCTGGAAGTTTGGTGTGGCCCTGCGTTCGTCGTCAGCACGTTATATCATTCGTACGGGGAGTAAGACATGCCGGCCAGTCTTCCTCAGTCGGGGTACCTAGGGCGCGCAAGATGGTCTTCAACTGGTCCATGTCGCTCTCGCCGGGTAAATACGGCGTTCGGAGCATGAGCTCGGCAAAGATGCACCCTATGGACCACATGTCGACGGCTGAGCTATAATAGCGACACCCGAAGAGCAGCTCTGGCGGCCGATACCATCTAAGCGACGGCTTCCGTCAGCCTGAGCGAGGTGCGTCGTTGGTTGACGAACATTGACTTACCGAGTGATGACCTGGCACGTCATTTTGTAGCCTGGGTCCGCGAAATCTCTCGCAAGACCAAAATCAGCAACCTTGAGCTGACCGTCGGCGGCGATGAGCAAGTTGTTGGGCTTGAGATCCTGCACCGCCAATCAGCCTTCAGTCAGACGCAGTGATACGCTGGGCCGTGAGGTCCTCACTCGATGTAAGACGAAGTTTCGGTGGCAGAACTCTATACCACGGAAAGTCATTGCCATCCAACTCTTGATGTCGGCGGGAAGGAAGACGAGAGAGCGATCTTTTATTATCATCTCAAGGTCGGATTCCAAGAACTCGAGTACAAGGTTGAGGTTGGCTTTGTTGGAGAACACGTCTAAGAGCTGAAGAAGTCATCCAGGTTAGCAGGTCTCTGAGGAGTCCATATGGGCAGGATTGATGCTTACCTCGATAACATTCTGATGTTTCAGCTCTCGTAGGTATTTGACTTCACGGATGGCGGACATGTCTAGTCCATCCTTGAATTGACCGACTTTGATCTTCTTGATGGCCACCTTTCTACCTGTTGCCGCTTCTTTCCCTACGTGTTGTATGCTATTGGCGACTGTGCTGCGTGACGGGTTCAAGAGGAGGGGCGTACCCTGGTATACAACGGCATAGGTACCTTCTCCAACCTTCCTCTCCTTTATCCTACGTTGCAATTGGAGCAATGCAAGCAAGCTGCGAACTGATACACGTACCATCGTTTCTGGCGTTCCGAGTTTGCCTTCTCCACTGCATCCATATCTTGTGCGCGTGTGCACCTGCTCGAAGCCTGAGCGGAGGGTAGGTCTGTTCAGACACCGAAAATCAGGACGCCGCGGCACCCAGCATCCGCCTCAGGTATGATTGCTTAGGAAACTATAGCGTCACCAAGTATAAGTTGGTCGGGGTCCAAGGAGCAGTGTCTGAGAGACGGGAGGATGAGAGCGGCTCTGACTCTGAGGGCGTCTGGGCCGCGTCCTCTCTTTCTCTCTCCCATCGCGTTTTGCCAGGGCAGACAACACCTCTTACAAGATACTCTTACGACGGATGACGACCTCTGATCTAAGTGTATCGCTCGAACCTCATCTAGTGCATGCGCTACAACCGCTTGTGCCGCTACTCCCTGGTGCAACTGCCACCAAGCTGCGTGCGCTGCTCAAGGATGTGACCAACTTATCGCACGACGAACAAGGAGAACCTGGATCTCTGCGAACCAAGACGATTCCGTACGCCCTGCTTGCTTCCATTTCGCAGTGGACGCGTTCCAGCGATGGTCGCGCTGCCCTCGCGGGGCACGAGCCTCCATTGGATCCTCGTGCGTACGAGATGATCGCACTTCTCGCCGGCGCGCGCACCTCTCCCGACAAAACCTTTCCGAAGTTCGTCCCTAAGGAACGGGAAGAAATGGAGCGGATGAAACGTGCGACGAACGACAGGAAGGTCATTACTGCCCTCTTGAACGCTCTTCTGAGCATCCTTGGCTGCGGTTTCGCCACATGGTATGCTGCGCGAACGCTGCGGTGGCGAGAGGAATGGGTGAGAGCTATTCCTACCTGACATGAAGCACCAACCGCGATCTGATATGCGAACTTGCACGTAGAGAGTGCTGCTTGCGCTCCTCGTCGCCACAGTTGTGGCCATTTCCGAGGCCGTCTTGTACATCATTTGGCAGGCACGCCGTAATGGCAAACTTCGGCCTATTGTACCACCCCAAACGACAGTTGTTGTGCATAAAGAAGTCGAGGCGGACGTCACTCCACACGAGAATAGTGAGCCGATCCCTACATTGGAGAAAGAGGCCACTCTCCGCCAGCGTAGAGTCATTCTCGGGCCTCCAGATGATTCCAGCGAATAGAGTTTTCTCCCCGGCACCAATCTGTTTGTGCTAGCAGCGACGACTCGAAAGTCAGTGCACTCATAAGGACTCGTGAACACGTGACGTACGCGACTCGTCGCGCCTTCCGGCGCCGGCGGCGACGCGGCCTCCCATCGCGAATACAATCCGCGGGTTTCACGGGTATAGCCAACGTACCGCAGGACTCTTCCTTAGCATCTGTTGAGTCAGTTGTATGTCATCTTATCAACGTATTATGTTGGGCTTCATCACGGCTGGGAAGGCGTATGCGCATGCGTCAGCATAATCTGCCGTGGGCCAGTTCCGCGTGCATATAACCCCTCTATGCCTCCTTCTGCACGACTCGGTCCTTCTGTTCATGGTGTATCGTACCAGCGGTGTTCTCGGCTTATATTCCTTTTAGTACTCAAACGACATAGATGGAGCCCCAAGTGATCGTGATTCCAGAGGCATCGCCGCTCCAGGGGAAGTGAAGACATGGAACTCTTTCCTGCGCCGAGTGCAGAAGGTGCAGTGATTTGTGATGTAATGAAAGATCGATCACTAAAGCTTCCCCCAGACTCAAACTCAAGTGTGTATATTTAGTTAAGGCATGTCGGTATGCAGTTGACAGTGATTAACCTTCAGATGCTCCAGATCTTTTCCTTGCAAGCCGTAAGTTCATCCTCTACTAATCCTACCAGCACTTATATCTATGTAGCTGTGTTAAGAAAGGGTCCGTAACTCCGATGCGTGTATATTGGTTGAGGCTGAATCTGTCAATAAATGCAGAGCTATCTGTCCAGACGGGACCCTGACAACTGGCAAAGGGAACAGGTACGGAGGCGTGTCCTATCAACACATTCGGAGGCTGACAGGTTGACCTGCAGATTTGTCCTTGCCAGTACGGCTGCCCTGCATGAGAAGATAGTGACACTGTCAAATTGTGTGCGACAGCTAGAGGATGCTCTGATGTTTATGATCCACGGCATCATCTGCTGAGCAAGGAACTGCTTGAAATCAAGCGACCGTTGGAGAGGTCCAAGACTGAACCCATCATAGAAGCAACACAACCAAATACTGAGGATTTGATTGACGCATTTGGCTCGCTGTAAGCATATATAGCTTCTTTTTATGTCACCACGAGCTTAAAGCACACTACTGCGATGCAGGAGCATAAAAAATGGCAGCCAGTCTCGTTATCTTGGGCAGGCGGCCAACTCTTGGGTGAGCAGTGGTATATCCCACTTATTTTGGAGAGGCTCACTACAATTTGTCAGTCTCTGTTGGAGGTGAATAGATATGTTGGCACAGTTCAAGATCCGGAGAATTCACTCTGGGCATACAGAATGAGATTCCGCTCGACCAGGAAAAGATAGGCAACGAACAACACTACCTGTCGCGAAATGACCTACCCTGGCTCAGCCATTCATGGCTGTTCGGTAACGCCTCTTGTGATCACCTCCTAGATTATCATATCACCTCATCGTATAGCAGGTGCCGATTTGGGCCATGGTGTCGACATGGTGTGCTGGCAAATCCTGGGCCTTCTTCCCAAAGTAAACGAGACCCGTCGAATCAGCGACCAATATTACAAGCATGCTCGGTTCAAGTAAGTATGCACTATGATCCTTCATGTGCAGTGCGGAGCTGAGGGTACCAGACATAGGCCAGTATTGGAACCTGAATTCTATCACGAAATTCTACTGCGAATTTACGATGCCAATGCGGCGGTGGTCTGGGATGCGACAGACTCCCATCAACTGGCAGTGGTATGCATGATCTTGGCCATCGGATCCTTCCACGATTTGGGCAATGCCGACTATGCCAGTCATTTGAAGTACTGGTACCATCTAGGACGAGCCACTTTGTCACTTCACTGTGCTCTCGAGAATCCGTCAATACCGGGGATTCAGGCGTTGGTGAGTCCTGTTTCCTTGGTGCACAAACTTTAGCTCATCGGCATCAGTTTCTGATGTGCCATTGCATGATGTTCTTGAACGTGAACGCGCGATGGTCAGGTAAGGATATCCTTAGTCGTTGAATTCAATCCAGAGTTTGGCTTACTCTTGTACTAGTGATTGGTATTGTTGTCAAGCTAGCACAGAGTGTGAGTCTGCACATCCTGTTCCAGATGTGTTGCTGACAGGGCCGCAGATTGGTCTCCGTATGCTGGATCGCTTGTATGACGCACTGTCAGAACTGATTTAACGGCCTACAAGACCAGGAATCCCCAAAGTGGAAACTCACTCCTGAGGAGACTGATAGACGCTGGACTCTGATGTGGGAAATCCATGCGTTCAACCTCTGGCAGGTCCGTGACACGTTTAGCTTCGGGCCATACATCTGCATTAATGCACCACTATTTAGAGCACAGTGTTTGGCCGACTGCCTTCAATGTCATTACAGCATATAGGGACACCCTTGCCATCAGAAGTTATGCTGAACAATTCGGGCGGACAGGACTCTATCTGTGAGCTCCACTTCTGATTATAGCCGATCATAGCCTCCAAGCAAAAATATTGATGGTTCCTTAGTCTTTTGCTTTAAATATCAATTTAGCATACAGTGTCTCCACCCCATTCACAACGCGTGTTTTGGTGCTCAGTCACCAACTTACGCTTCCATTGAGTGTTACAATGAATGTCTCAGAAACCTCCAAATCCCGCAATCACTGTGCATCCCTGTATTCGATGGTATACACATGACTGGCACAGAAGATCTCCCTGAGATCAATCTGGTCCAAGGATATATGGCCATTTCTCTTTGCAAAATGAGTGAGTAAGCAAGATAGTAGATTTGTTGCGGCCCAAGTTGACGTGATTGATTCAGCCCTGTTTTATTTGCACAGAGGTGTCACGTGTCAATCCAGACCGACCTACGCCGATCCGCTCCGCCAATTGTCACCGATCTACGCCGATCTTCTCCGATCCGATCTCCAACTTTTCACTGACTTCTTTGCCGATGCCGATCCTGACTTTCCCGTTTCGGTCGAGGGCGGGATATGCCTATCACACGCCCTGGTGGTTCCAGATCTTGAACGGATTCAACTCCGACTTTCCTGTTTCCTGTTCCCTTTGTCTGACATCATAGCTTCCCTTTGTAGACTTTAGTTTCCCGTCGCTTGCGACGGATCTTTCGGTCCGATCTTTCCGCCTCTTCCGTAGATATGTTCCCTTTGTGTTCCATGCGTTATCTCTTGTCTCCGTATGTTCCCTTTGTGCGCTGAACGGTGCCTCCGATCTCCGGATGTCAGGGCACAGCTCCCACACTCGCCTCATCTCTCATTGTTCTCCTTTTCTGCTTCCGCTTCTGTCCCATTTCGTTTGTTTCCCCTAATACTTCCGTCTCCCTATTTGGTCACGCTCTCCCGCGCCCTCCTAGGCTTCCCGCGCCATCCTTTTGGCATCTCCCTATTCCGTTCCATCGCTCGGCGCTCCTAGGGCCTCCGCACCCCGCGCGGCCTTCCTAGGCCGCTCCACCGGTCACGTGTCGGGCGCCCGAGGACCCTCCCCTTCTCTCATTGGACCATCTTTCGTTGCGCTGATGGATTATTCAGCTACTATATAGTCGCCTGTTGCACCAGGGAGCAATCCAGACTTGTTCTCTCAGTTGCCTCCCTGCCTTGTGCGACAGGTATGTGTATTTTCCCTCGTATCTTCGTGTATATACTCAGTTGCCTCCCTGCCTTGTGCGACAGTGTCTCCACCGCCGTCCCGGGGGATCCGCGCCGCTCCTAGGAGCTCCAGCGCGTACTCTGACAGACTCTCCGACTTTTGCCATTGTTCTCTTTTATGCATATAAACCGTCGAACTGTACCGTAGATAGTCAGTTTGAATATCGACTAAGCTTTACTCTCTTCCTCCTGCGGACTCAGAGCGCGTAGCAGCCTAGCGCATGAGCTTAGGCTTGGTCCGCATCCGATCTCGACTCCACCAACGCTTCCGACTTATCGACTCCACGCCGACGCGTCTCCGACTCCGCTGTCAGAGCAGAAAGAGTGACGCTATCAGGGTAAAGATAGTGTCGACACTGTCCGCAGTGCAAGTTTGAAGGGGCTATAGATTCAGGTCAAATGAGTTGTTACTGGAGTTGTTTTGGGGTAGTGTAGGTCCGGCTTGATACAGTCAAAGTAGGTGAGAATAACGAGGTTCCAATCCTCAACTATTTCAGCCTCACTCTTAGGTACTTCAGTCAGATATACACTTAGTTCTCAAGAATCACACTGCTTTGTGACTGCTGAGAGGTCTGTGATTCAGTGGGGGGTCAGGTTCATACAGTTGGACAAGAGGGGCAGCCTCCTTATATACTACTACTAATTTCAAATTCAGAAGAGCGTTGCACCCTTAAAAAGAACAGGGTACCACCCTATTATTCTGTATTGCCATAAACTAGGGT